ATCGATCCAAGGACGCATGCGCGATCTCGATTTCGATCTCGCGGCTCGCGATGTACAGTGGAGCGCGTCAACGATCCGTTCCGCGAACCCTTCCTTTCGCTACTTCGAGGAAATATGGTGGGGGGACACAATACACGTTGACGAGACACTCTTCGAAGTTGTCGGAAACGGATAAAAAAAAATAAAATTAAATAAATGTCGAAAAAAATGTTCAAAATAGTTCAGCATGAAAAAATGAACGTAGATCCAGTTCTTTTAATCAGCGAGAGGAAGAGGGGGGCTCACGGACGCGTCATTAAAGCATCGCGCCGTACATAGCGGCGCGTCGCGACGAGGCGAGGCGCGGTAGAGCGCGAGGTAGCGCCAGGTGGGTGGTTGACGGTAGAAGGGGGAACAGAAGTGCGAGAGGGGGCAACGTCTCTCACCTGTGCGCATTTCGTTGGCCTACTCTCGCCAGGACGGCCGGATGCTACGCGGCGATCGTCCGGCGATCGTGTCGCGCATAGTTGCTCGTCCGTCGTCAGTTAAAATCATCATTTCTGATCGTCGCCGTCGCCGTCGTCGTCGTCCACGTCCACGTCTACATTAGTGCTCGCGATTGCGTCGCGCGCGGTCGCCCGGCTGTCGGTTCGCGACGCGGAAGATCCAGGAAAACATCGTCCGTCAATCGTCGCGATGGTGACGTCGTCGAGTGCGTGTTGACAAGAGCGCGAGCTGTCACAACATTCGCCGCCACGCTGCCGCCGCGAATGCATTTGCAACAAATGCGTTCACGCACCCAACAGCTCGCTGTGCCGTCTCGAACCGGCGCGGCGCGGTTCCGCTTTGCGGCGACCGGCGTCTGGCTCTGGTTAACGTTGCCGGCGTGAACGAGCTACAGTTAGCGCGATGCTTCACCTCGCCGGCGAGACACCATTAGAGGCCAGCGGCCGCGGATCGATTTTTCGCGACTGTCGCGAGTAGTAGCACCGATGGATGATGGATCCAGATGGTCTCGCGGCCTTAATGAAGAGTACGGCATAAAAGCACGTCGAAGCGATTGTAGCTCGGTCCTTCCGGTCCCAGGCCGGCGACCGTATCGCCGATCTCTCCCTTGATTCCGAAACGAAACGCCAAAATGTATCAACTTTTATTCTCGTCGCACGTTTAACTGTAACTGTTCAATCTTCGTCCCACGTCGACACTGAAGAACGTTGAACCGCGTGATTACATTGGACAAACAGGCTCGAAATCACATGATCATACTTGGCGTTAAATATACGGTGGAAATACATGAGCCCACGATTTTTGCTATTATCACTTTAAACATTGTTACACGATATTTACATTGAACTTAAATTCTCGCGCCGGGCAAATACGAGGAAGTCAGGCGGTTTCATCTGGTTAAACGTGCGTCGCGAACGTGAACTGAATACGCGAATCGACATAACGCGAATTGTCGTAGTATTCTCGAGGAAAATACGAGCAGAGCGAGCGGTTTGGTGCACTCACGGCGACAACGCGGTGATTGTGTCACGTATGTAAATGAACAAATATTGCAGCTCGCGAACGAGTCGCGGCTTGAACGCCTCGATCCGATAACGACCCCGGAGGGAAGAGCGGGGAAAGGGGAAAGGGCGATTACGCACGTGTTGCGATACCGTGCCTCGTGATCCACGAAAATGTCGATCTATCGGTTCAGCAAGGGGGGCAGGCTGTTCGTGCAGGGCACGAGGGAGGACGGCGATCGTGACGGCGTTTCACCTAGCCCAACGGGAACGCGGTCCGCCGACGATCTGCGAGCTATACACACGAAACGCCGATTGTCGACCGAGGTCTTAGGTAGTAAATCGAAATCGAGGAGAATAGGAGGGAAAGGATTCGCTCTGACAATCTCGCGCTGTTCGCGGAGAGCGCCTCGGGTCGCCAGGAGAGAGCGGTCCGCTCTGACTGATTTGCACGAGGTTGGAAGTTAGGTTGACTGCCGAGGAATCGCGATGATTTTGCGAGTATACTAATTACCAATTAGCTGAAAACTAATCTCTCTCCCAGAGAGGGAGATCGCGATCTTCAGTTAATTGGTCTTTACGGAGACAATGAGAAATTGCGAAACGTGCCTCCCACGTCTCTACGCGTATAACTACGACTCACATCTCTCGGTGATAAGAAAATAAACAGTCTTATATAATGGAATATGTAGCACATGACCTAAGAATATCGCGGTGCAATTATGCACCTGCGATTTTGAGTTGCATTAATGCTCGGTATCGCTGGCAGCGAGCTAACTCGACGTGCAGCAGTTTCCCTCGCGAGTGCCTTCTCCGGCGCCGGTTGTCCTTTCTCAGCGAGGTATAATAAACCGTTGCGTCATCGTGACTTTAAAGACTCTTCCACCTCATTCGTACCAAATTCAATTGCAGTTTGCCGTATTCCGCGCAGTTAAATGGCTAATGTGTTTTCCTTGTTAGTAGCTAAGACAATGTTGCGTCTCGGCGCGCTTGAAAAACAGCGATTAGACGTAGATGTTTGCAGCGATAGCTGGCATAGCGATCGCTCGATAGCACTATTTTCAAATTAGCGCATCGTCAGAACGAATCCTTTTCCAAGTTGGATCGCACGATTCTCTTCTCGTTCGACGTTCTGTATCGCTCGGTTCGCGTTGCCTCAGGTTCGTCGATCGAATCGACGAAAACATCGAGACGCGGTGAGAACGGCACGAAGCGCATCGTCACTCGCATCGTCCGCAAGACGACGACATTGACGCGCGGCGAGGAGCGTAGCGTCGCCGAGGACCTGACGAAACGCGCCCATCCTAAGTACCTGCAGGATGCTAGCTCGTCGACGATGACCGTAACCCGGCACGTTCCAACGAGAGCGAAAACTGTGCGGGTAAGCGATTCTGCGTGGAAAAGTTGCCAGACAATCTCTTGTTTTAAATATTAAAACGCTGGCGTATCAAAGAGAACTAATCGCGAACAGATCGATTCATATCATCGAAAAATATCTTCGAAGATTGGCGAATACCTGGCGTATGCGTTCACAGCTGAAAATAAGCCAAATATAGCTATGAACATTTTGAGCGGCAGAGACATTTGCATTGAAACTCATCGTGGAAGTGTTCGACTTAAACGTTCATTCGAATGAAGCGCTCTCTCTCTCTTTCTCGTCACAACGGATGCATCGCCTTAATTAGGATTCGAGCGGATACTTACGCTCGCTTCGGTCTCGTAGCTCTATTACCGTTCCACTTAATCCGCTATTTCGCCCCTGCAATTAACCCGCGAAGGAGACAGTGTTTTTTTCTCGTGACGTCCAAGCTGTGGCCGGGACGGTTACCTCGTCGTGTTAACCATGCGACACGAAGAATGAAACTCGGCGAAAAAGCTGTTTCTACTTATTTGTCGATACCGCTTTCGACGTTACTCAATTGTGACAGACGAGGCTTGGCCAAATGCACTCTCTCTCGAGATTGGAGTCGCGTCGTATCGCCGACAATGCTCGTCGAACGTGTGCTTCGGTATTTTGCCCGGTATTCTCGATAAATCAAATCGCGCGACGGTCGAACGATTTATGCCGAGGGGCAACCCTTGCAACCTGTTGCTGTGCAAATTGCGTAGGCGTAGGGAATCAGATGGCACGGGACGACCCATTCGAATAGCGCACATTTCGTATCGCGAGCGCGAGAAAACACACGATGACCCGAATACAAATGCCGGCTTTTATCAATGCCAATGGCAACGATCTCAAGCGGTCGCGATCTCGATTTAAGCGTCGGTGCCAATGTCAAGTATATTGCCAGTGGCATAATTTGTCTCTATTATTTCACTACTTGAGCGAGTTTGGTAGCCAGCCAGGCGGCGAAGTGCTTTCATCGCGTTGAACATCTAGGAGAGATCAAGTGCGAAGTATTTTAAAAATATCGCGAAGCTATGAGACTTGTTCTTATTTATCGAACTTGACATATCTTAAAATTAACAGAAAAAGAAAAAGAAATATGAATAAGATGTAAAAGACGTGGCTAAAAATAAAGCTTATCGAATTTTTTTTTAAATGTTAAGACAGAAAATATTTGTGACGCTATTATTGAAACAGCACATCTTCTCCTGAATGATTTTATTCATAGCCGAGGAACATCTATGTAGATAATTTTATCAGCCGCTGTATTTTACGTATGTTAAAGTAAGCAAAACGACTTTGCTGGTTCAGTGAACTTGACGTAAACGTAATAAATAATACGTTAGGTAACAACAGCACTCGATTGTCGATAATCGGAGTAAGCCGGGAAATACAGGAAGAAGATCTTTACTGGCGCGATATAGCGTGTATCTATACGTGATAAGATAACCCCGTTCAGAACTGTGACGTGAAAACTCGTTTTCTTATCCTAATATAGAAAAGAAAACATATTATGTACGCAGCTGTTTTCAGAATTATTCTGTCAATGGCCGACACGAGTCTCGGCATTGTTGAAATAAAATTAGCGAATACGTTAGAATACGATAACGTTAGAAATTATTTAAAAAAAGGAAGTGTAATAATAAATGATACTCTAAAATCGATTGATGCCGTGACCAATGTTCTCCCGGCGCCGGCCGGCTAAGCAAAATGTCAATAGTTCTCGAAAGGTTGTAACTTTCAGTTTCCATTAACTTTCAACTAAGAAAATAGAACTATGGAAGGTTGCAAATACGCATTATATAACGCGCGCATAATTTTATGCTTGATAATTTTAAATGAAACCGGTACATGTAGCTTTCGAATGTAAATTGTTCCTCGAGTGTTACTAATTAAAGGTTTTAAAGACTGCTATTCTTCAAGAGAACTTCCCCATTCAATCTGAAATGATTATTGCAACGAACGTTAACTATTCGTTAACTATTCGTTATTTGTTGAAACAGCGGCACCCGAAACAACGTGAAATGATACATCGAAGGGCGAACCAATATCTATTTTCATGCTACATATTTTTAAGAAACTTTCATTGCGTATTTTATTAAGAAAATCTTATTCTATTTTTCTAGATATCGGACATAGTGGTTGGGCAGGAACCGAATGTAACGGCACGCGAGGCCCTCTTGAGATGGGCCCGACGATCGACGGCCCGATATCCCGGTGTACAGGTGACCGATTTCACTTGCTCCTGGAGGGACGGTCTGGCTTTCAGCGCTCTTCTCCACAGGAACCGGCCGGATCTGGTCGACTGGAGAACCGCGCGTTCAAGCCAGCCGCGAGAACGGCTCGATCGGGTCTTCTACGTCGCCGAGCACGAATATGGTGTTACGAGGCTTCTCGATCCAGAAGGTAACGACTGATTATCCGATCAAGCGTGCTGCAATGCCCTAATTATTTCTAAAACCATTTGACATTGACCTATGAGTGACTGTTGCTCCGATCATGATTTTTATGCATCGTTAATCTGAAAATTCGAAGCAAAAAAATATCGAGATGCGTGTTTCGTGTTCTAACTTTTTTTTTTATCGTCGCGTTATCTTGGGCCGCTCTTGTGGTTTCATCTTACAAAGACGCCTTTCACGGGTACAGCCCTACCTGTGTTTCCCTCGTTTATGTATGCCCTGTGCGTGAACGGTTCCCGCGGGTTCTAGCGTGGTGCACGTACTTTCTGGTCACGGTTACCTGACCAGAATCGCTTCCGGTCTCGGTTCGTACACCGTAACGTCGCGCCATCGGTAGTCGTCGTAATTATGCTTTCTATACTTGCGTCTTGCAGGTATCTGACATTGGTATCAGGTTGCAAGGAAAAGCGAAACTTGTCTACGGATAACGTATCTTATTATTCGATATGACTTGCGATAGATTTTACCGGGTTTTTTTCAATAGATATGGATAACATCTAGATTTTTTATCTTTCAAATATCGTTACTTTATTAGCGTTGACAAAATTACTCTCGTTTTTCAAATATTATTAAAAATGATGAGTCTAGAATTTAATGATGATTTTAAGAAGATTAGTGAGAAATAATTTATTATATTCACACACGTGGCGTGACTTACGCAAGGATTCTTATGTACTCTGCGCAGATGTTGATACTCCCGAACCAGACGAGAAGTCTTTGATTACGTACATCTCCTCGCTTTACGACGTGTTCCCGGAGCCGCCGGCCATTCACCCTCTGCTCGACGTCGAGGCGCAAAGACGGTCCGCGGAATATCGCGAGCTCGCGAGTTCGCTTCACTTGTGGATCCGCGAGAAGATGGCCCTCATGCAGGAGCGAGCCTTTCCGCCAACTCTGATCGAGATGAAGAAACTAGCGGCGGACAGCATGAAGTTCAAGAACGAGGAGGTGCCGCCGCGATACAGAGACAAACAGAGATTGACACACATTTTCCGAGACCTGCAAAAGTCTTTCGAAACGGTGGGCGAAGTGGTGGACATGGAAGCAGAATTGCATATTGATGTCATCGACAAGAACTGGAATCGCTTGATAATGTTGCATCAGGAGCGCGAGCAGGCTATTATAGATGAAATTAAACGGTAAGTCCGATTATCATAAATTAAACGCGTGTGTGTGTATATATATATAATATATATATAACGCGTTTGTATGTGTGTATGTACATATATGAATATACGAGTGTACTTTGTACGTCACAGACTCGAGCGGCTGCAACGACTCGCCGAGAAAGTGCATCGCGAGATGAAAACGACTGACAACAGACTGGAGGAGCTCGAGAGATGTGTGGAGGACGAAGCGCGCAGGCTTGATCGCCTTCATCCTTTGGAGGCGAAACACGCGGTGGATCTGCTGGAACAGGACATACGCAACACGGAAACACAGATACAGAATATATTCACTGATGTGCACACTCTTACGGAAGGTAGATACAGTCAGGCGCCCGAGCTTCACAAGAGGTAAAACATTCATTTTTATTCGAGTTATGAGGATCTAAAAATTCACACTCTTAGAATATCGATATCGCAATTTAGAATCATTTGCATGTTACGCGCATGTCTGCTCTGTTCTCGTATGCATAATTACATTGTTTCTAATCTCGTAATCTTTGCTAATGAGTGAAGTATTAGCGCGCTTTCCATCGCCACGACGATGCAGCTTTCGAAAATCAAGTCATGCACGTATCGTGTTTAGCGACTTTCCAAATATCTCGGGACATGTTTGAACATGTTGCTATATCCGATAAGATTTCCTTTATTCAAGTTTACCACATGTCAATATATCTCCAAATAAGTAAATAGCTAATAACGTATACATTGATACAATATTAAATAACGTGACTTTAAGATGATAAGAATTAAGTGAAACTTGTTTATTTGCGTTTTCAGAGTGCAGAAATTGCATCAAAGATGGGTTGCAGTACGATCTCTCCTGCACAGACGTCTGGTACATCCACTCTCTGCGGTTTCCTTTCCCGTAGAGGAGCGTGTTGTCACGAAACACCGCACTACCGTCCACGAAACACGATTGGTTGATACCAATCCACACTTCCGCGCGTTGCACGATTGTATAGATTGGTGTAAGAGCAAATTGAAGCATCTACAAGAAGCGGATTACGGATCAGACTTGCCTAGCGTGCAAAATGAATTGGATGTACATCGTCGAGAGCACAAGAACATCGATCAGTTCCAGGCCAAGGTCGACAAATGCGTGCAAGCGAAGAACAATTTCCACGGCGAGGAACTCACGTTATACAACCAGCATCTTAGTACTTTGCAAAAGCTCTACGCTGAGCTTCTTGCCGTATCGAATAAGAGGCTCTCCGATTTGGAGACTCTGCACGATTTCATACAATCGGCTACTGGCGAATTGGTTTGGTTGAACGCAAAGGAGGAAACAGAAATCGCGCGTGATTGGAGCGACAAGAACCTTAATGTGCAGAGCATCGAACAATATTATGAGGTTGGTCATTATTGAGCGACTTTTTTCAACAGTAGAAATGATAAAGTCCATTCTCGTGATTTGTAAGATTCACATAAAAACTGATACGCAATGTCATTAAATTACCTTTACGATATGTAATATATAGCTCTTTAGTTGATTTGAATTAATTGGAAATATCTTTTTTGTGAAGCAAACGTATGGATCTGGTATAGAGGTAAAATATGCAATAAAAGTGCTCATATTTTTTTATTCTGACCTAATGTTTCATTTTTGTTAGATATCATTTGTTTAAATTTTTAATTACAAATTTACGTATTCATAGATCTCAATTTTTAATATAAATTTTAATTCAATATTCTATATAAGTAATAAGATATTTTATTATTTATTTGCAGTCTTTGATGAGCGATTTGGAGAAGCGCGACATACAGTGTTCGGCAGTGCAAGATCGCGGTGAGGCGTTGGTTCTTCAGCATCATCCTGCGGCGAAAACAATCGAAGCATACATGTCCGCAATGCAAAATCAGTGGGCCCGGCTACTGCAATTTACCCTCTGCCTTGAGGTACATCTAAGACACGCCGCGCAAAATCAGCAATTCTTCAAAGATATTCAGCAGGCCGAACAGTGGATCTCGAAACAGGACGATACATTGAATACCGTTTACTCGCAATCCGATTTCGCATTGGACGAGGGAGAACGACTTTTGAAGGGCATGCAAGCGTTGCGCGAGGAGCATAATAATTATGGCGATCACGTACAGAGACTTGTGGAGAGAGCAAAGGACATCGTGCCTATGAAGCAACGCAAGCAACCTGTCACGCGACCGTTACAGGTCACTTGCATCTGTACCTACAAGGAAGTCAATGTAGTAAGTATTTCTTAATGTGGAGAAGTGAAATACATACGTTTAAGTATACATATTTCTTATCTATATCTCTTTGTAGATGTCTATCGAGAAAGGAGAGCAGTGCACGTTGTACGATACTTCCGGTAGAGTTAAGTGGCGCGTCAAGAACACGCAGGGAGTGGAATCTCGTGTGCCAAGTGTCTGTTTCGCGCTGCAACCTCCCGATAAGGAAGCACTGGATGCTGCGGAAAGATTGAGGCGACAATATGACAGAAGTGTTGCTCTCTGGCAACGAAAGAATTTGAGATTACGACAAAACATGATATTCGCGACTATCAAGGTTGTCAAGGGTTGGGATCTGCCGCAATTCTTGGCGATGGAACAGGATCAACGTACCGCTATCAGAAAAGCGCTGAATGAAGACGCGGATAAATTGTTATCGGAGGGAGATCCGGCGGATCCGCAACTCAGAAGATTGAAACGAGAGATGGCGGACGTCAATCGGCTGTTCGATGATTTTGAAAAGCGCGCCAGGGCCGAGGAGGAATCGAAGAATGCTGGACGCATTTTCAACGATCAAGCGTCCTCGCTTCAGCAGGAACTCGACGAGGCCGAGCGAATTTTGAACGCGCGCATTGCCGCGCCCTTACCTCGAGACCTCGACAGCTTGGAACATTTGGTGTTGCAGCACAAAGACTACGAGCAAAGTCTGCAACGCTTGGCGCCGGATGTGGAACAAATGCAGCAAACGTTCCGCGGAATCACCCTGAAGACCCCAGCGATGAGGAATAAGCTCGACAACATTACGACCAAATGGAATCACCTGTGGAACCTGAGCAGCTTGTACATTGAACGCTTGAAGTGCGTCGAAATCGTGCTGTCCAGCCTTGAGGAAAATACGGCGGCCATCTCGGAATTTGAGATCAAGTTGGCCTCTTTCGGCGAGTTACCGTCGGACGTGAAAGGTTTGCAATGCGTGTTGGAGGATCTGATGGTTCTCCAGAACGCTATCGCGCAGCAGCAAGTGTCGGTGGATCAACTGAACGAGGACGCGCATAACGCCAGGCGTCTTGTGGAGAAATCGAGACCGAATCATCGTGGTCCGCACGGCGACATGGACAGATTGGACGCTGAGGTCAATAAACTGAACGCGCGATGGACGAACGTTTGCGGACAGCTAGTCGATAGACTGCGCAGCGCTGAAACGGCCTACGGATTGGCGCAGCAATATCAGAACTCGTATCAAAACGAAGTGGACTTTGTCGATGAATCCTATGGAAAATTAGAGATGGAGAACACCAAGGTAGGGAGCGCGAACAATTTCAATGATTTTGTGTTACTCTCTCGCGCGTTATCGATGAGATCGTTAAAGTCACGATTTTTTTTTTATGGATTCAGAACCTGTTGAGCAAGGTGTTGGATCGCACACCGGCAATCGAGGCGGTGAATCTCACGGGCGGCAGACTGATCCGCGAAGGGAAGGTGAGGACACGTGGATCGTAATGTATAATTTGGTGCTAGTAAGCCTTATAGGTAGCCTCTTAGCTTACGGTGTGAATGCTTGCATGAATGGAGTTCTGCGTGTGTCTTACATACATACAGGTCTCATCACAGTCCATTGTACGCGCCTCCGAGATTTTTTCAGAAAATTATGCGCGCGACACGAATCCTTTCCATTTAGCGTTTCGTCGGAGCGGCCGCTTTTTCTGGAGTATCGAGCGAGCAGTCGCAAGACGCGCACCGAGACGCGTTACATCTATGGCTGTGCATAAACATGAACATGAACGTTCCTTTACAGTCCGAATTTCTGCTGCTGCCTTTTTCCACCGGTCTTCTCGGCGATGTCACGTCAATTTTCTAGCGGTAAAATTCTCTATTTGCGTCCGGGCCCCGTGCCATTAAACGGCACAAACCATCTTAACTGCCATTCATTAAGTAAATATACTCACTTATGTAACGCAGCGGGGACGATACGATCTACGGGCAGCGCGCATTTGTAATATCACTAGGCCTTTCTCTCCTTTTTAACTTTAACGGCAACCTCGTTAACATAATTACATCAGAAGCACGATTGAATGAGCTGCACGACCTCGCCTTTAGCGGCGACCTAGTGCTGATTTTTGTAAATCCTAGATATATCGCATACCGCTTAGGCGCTTAACACAATATACGATTGATATTTCCCTGAATCCGCTGGAATCACAGATAACCCAGTGAGGTATAACATGCGCAGCTGAGCGAGGTGGAGACTGACAAATTAATACGTAGGAAAATTCGCTGAGGTACACAAATGAGTACTCGTGAACTACATTTCGGCACGAATTGGACACATATCCCTGCTCTTTACCAATATTAATTGCAGCGCTACTGCATTAATCGCTGCTTGTCCTTAGCGCGACTACGAAGTAGCCCCGAAATTATTTCAAACACGGTTAGATTAACGTATTGACGGGAGTAACCGGCAGCTACCATTAATACACTTGTTTACCGGAAGTACCACATTGGGTTGTCAAAAGATCACAAAGATCGCCAGCCGCGCGGTGAACACCGCGCGCGGCGGTCTTCAACGCCTCGTCTCTCGCTGTCGCTTTCGGAATCCGCTAACGGTAATTGCCGCACACACACACAGCGATCTAATTGCACTAACCATAACGGACTAACCGGAAACCCCCTAGATTTACGGACAAAGGCTCCGAGCGTTCAAAGAACAATTGGAAGATATCTGCCCGTCGTTGGACGCATCGGTGAAGAGGCCGCGGAGAGATTCCGTTATTACGGTCGATAATGTTGCGCGCGATCTAGATACCCTGAACCGAAGATACACGACCCTCGTGAACCTGCTTGAGGAACGAGTCAGGCAGCTGGCACTACTACATCCTGAGGACACTTCCCTGCAGGTGAGTTTTAACATTTTTCTTCTTGTCTGCGGTCTCTCTCGAAATCCGCCTGTGAAAGTAGACTGTACATCTATTTCTCCGGCAGAGTCTTGGGACTCTTCGATTAAAGAAAACGGAAAGTGACATGACAATTCTTCAACACGTTCAATATTTTTTTTTTTTAGAAGTTGTCATTACCGCAAATAGAATAAATCGGAGTTGTTCTCCAAGAGAGGAAATCAACATCGTCCGGCACGCGTAATTTTTCCTAATCGCTGTTATTGAGCAATCGGAGGCAGCTCGAAGGGCCGTAGGCGAAGTGGGCTGCCGGGTATTTTTGATTAGGTTCAACCTTCGCCACGTGTCGAAACGTGAAACGGAATTAATACCGAGGCACGGCAAGGCCTCGCAATTTCCATTGCCGATGGGCGAACGTTGAGAATCCGCGAAGCTATTAAGACCCTCGATCGTAACGCTCTTCGACGTTCAGCGAACGACTTATCGCGCGATAACGAATTAGAACTATTTCTAATCACGCGAAGGTGATTTATTACGTCAAAGTCGTACGGGATACGAATCCCGCATTGATCCTTACAGTAAGAGAGAACGAATTAAAATTAATTTCCGAATAACGAAAGGATAACGAATGGTTAGTTACGACGAATCTTTTTTTTTCGCATATTACACGCACGCAAAAAAGAAACGCTTTTTAAGTAAAATTGTTACACAAGATAAATACGAGGTATAAATAAAAATAAAGGCTTATCATGCTCCTCGAAGGTAGTGCTTGCGACAATCGGCCGAAGGCTCGGTCGAAAATCACGCGTGGGCTTTTTCATCGCGGAACGAGGGAGGCGTATCTTCCGAGAAATGACTCGATCGAGATTCCTCGGTCTCGGCAACCGCGCGCGGTGACATAAGCTGGAAATTAATGAGCGGCGATGAACGGGCGCTCTCATGAGCTCTCGAGAATCTGTATGTGCCCACATCGCCCGCAGGTATAATTATATTCCGAATGACGACGACGTCAGAAATAGCGGCTATTTTTCTCGGTGCTATTACGCGCCTCGCCAGGTAGCGCGTAAACGCCGGAAGGTGTGCGGACCGCGCGGTTTTTTGTTGTCTTTTTTTTTTAATCTAATCGCGACTGGTTCGCGTGCGCTCGCCACCGTCGGGTCGCCGTCGAGATCACGTTCGTCACGCCGCTACCTCGAGGGTTTGTTATCCCCGGTCGTGATCGAGCGAAACAGCCGTTTTGACACGCGACCGACTTTCGCCTCCGATTAACGGCGGCTCTTCATCTTTCCCGCTCGTCGTGCCGGCCTCGTGGATCGATAGGGCCGCACGATATGCCGACGCGAAGGCAGAACGAAAAAGCAGTGGCGCGTTTACACCTGTTGAGGCCCCCAAGTTCGTCGGACAATTGCAATTAGTTCGAGCTGAAAAAAATGAGAAAGAATATGTCTTTGTTAAATGTACACGTTTAATTTAATTATATACATTTTATCTAATTTCACCGTGCTTCTCAGAAAACGCAGCACGTATTTGACCGTCGCGGTGTATTTTTCTTGGCTTTATTTTGATGAACATTTTGCTTTATTAATTAAAATCATTAATCTGGATTTCCGAATGAGGAAGTCGGTAATCCGCGTATTTTACAAATAAGCTTCAAATTCCTGCCGCGACACGAGCATCAATCAAGATTAATCGAGAGACAAGGCCACATCGGTCTTCAGCGTAGCGTCCTTAATTCCTAACGCATCGTTCACCGTCGCGATATAAGCCTCGTAATATATTTACGACTCCGAGGAGCACCCGTGTGTGACCAGAAATGTTAAACGAGCTACGACCGACTCGCGCCGGCTATAAACTATTGCCGAAAATGCGAAGTACATACGTTTGTCCTCGAGAGCGAAATGAAAGCGCAGTCGATTACGTGATCAAAACGCATCGAAATGCGGCTCGTTGAATCGAGGCCGATTTTTTAAAAGCACGAAAAGAGCCTCGGGGTTCTAGAACAGCCTGAACGAATTATCAGTGGAAGCACCCACGCTTAAACGCGCCACTGGACCGCGGCGGTGCGTCGGCGCCGCCACTCGCGTCTCCTCCGAGGACCGGCTCGGAGGAGAGAGAGACGAGTCGCCGCAGTCAGGGACCGTCGGTTGCGCGGATGACCGTCCGCTCGTCGAACATGCTCGCCGGTCGTGCGAACGATTAGACGTCGTCGTCATCGTCGTCGTGAGCGCGATAGAGCCGCGAGAGCAATTTCGCTCCGACACGTGCCCCGATGAGCGATCACGATGATCGTGCGAAAGGTACGGAAGGGTGGAGGGACGAGCGTCGCGTGCTCCGGAAACGGGATACGCCGGTATCCGTCGGTGAAACCGGACACTTTCGGACGTGTCAGATGCGAGTGGAAAATTGACGAGAAGTCGATTACGAAATAATCTTATCGCTGCAGCGAGACGTCCTTGAGACGTCTTGGGTGATATCCATGGGGGTCGATTTAGAGTCACATGTCTGGAGCCGAGAATCGCGGAAACTGTCCGCGTCGACTTTGACGCGTTCGCGATTGACAAATGAAGAGCACAACCACAGCAACTAAATTCCTTTAATATCGTTTAAGTCTATTTTATTTGAACATTATTTAATGCGCGTGAAAGTTTTATAATTATTGCAAAACTTGACGAGGTATTTAGAGCTGTTGGTTAACATATGCGCATATGTCAAAACGAGTCGAGAAGTGTAATCGTGATTTGGCATGTTTCTTGCCTTCTGCGGTTCTCAAAGAAGTGACGGATCAGTTGCAGATTCTCTACAATCCTAATATCTAAAACTTGACACGTTTAAAATCGTCGTTCTTTATTTAATTTTACAAATGTGTTTCTTTTCACATTGGCACGAGAAGAATATTGCTTTTTAAATTCTGAATTTACGATTTTATTGTCGTTCAGCAAGTTCTTACATCAAGAATACGATTACTCGCGAGGAGCTCTTAAAATGTGTCATTCTTTACGATGCTCTGGGTACATCTGGCGATACTTTTTGCTACTTGCGAACAGCTTAGAACTCAGATATTCCTGCGTGAATTCGAATAAGTGAATATCTTGCCGCCGGTGTTTACTGTTACGAATATTTACTACTTTATTGCTGACATCCACATTCATGAACTCACGCTACTTTATTGCCGTCTATATTCGCGCTCAATTTTATTGCGGAATGCAAATTTAAATGCGCGTATGCTTATATATATCAATAAAATAAATCGCCAGAATCATAAATTTTTATACATTCGGCGGCATATATTAAAAATTGAATGCCAAGTGATGCGTTTTTATCCGAAATATTTAGGCTCAATTTTTATTTTTGTTTGTGCATAAAGTCTTATATATCCTCTTGTATACACAAAACGCGACGTTCGTCAAATCTTTTATTGGCTTTCGACTCGGTCGTTTCTGATTACGCTCTTATCGGCTCAACGCTGTGCGACGCGATTGATTAGGTCGTTTCAGCAAGGTAAACCATCCACTCGTCGACTCGATAGCGCGATTTCACTGGGAATCGGTTTACGTACGTTGCACTGTCACCTGCATTGTTATTTTTCCCGGGGTAGCTCGCGTCTTTAAATTCACCGTACTCGGCGTGTCTAATAGCGGATTCTTATTTTAACGCGTGCACAGAGTGACCCAGAAACTGATCGGTATTCGAGAGAAAGAGAGAAGAGTGAAAGAGCGACCGAGGTCTCTTCTAGATTATATCGAATTTATTTTCGTATATCTCGAAACTTTCACGGTTGTTTTTACACTCTTGATAACTCGTCAAAGATATTTTAATCTTTAGTTGCTCAGAACTCGAAGATTGTATTGACACTTTGCAGATAAGACCGTCATTCTTTATTTGACTTCCGTTTATCGCGATATCGTAAATGTTTTTAAATGACTCTGCATTTACATGCGTGAAAAGCCACGTGTGTAAGATATCACGATTAAACGGTGACGAGACTGACACAATGAGACGTATAACGACCGAAATATATAATAATACTATCGAGCCAAGTTGAACGACTTCCCGATTACTTTTTAGATATGCAAACTGCGTCAACGAAAGCAAGTAAATTAATTTTTCATTAACATAATTTGTACAACCGGTATACAGACGATCGATCGCCCGAAGGTCGGCGATCACATCGATCAGATATAATTCGATCGGTGGATTTACGATGCAACTAAATCGGTAACGGGTTGCTTCACGGTCACTATTAATATTTCTTGTGTTCTTCGTTAATTTTATTTTTATTGACATGAATTGCTTCATCCGTATAGAATTAACGTTGTTAGCGTCATTAAGGAGATGAAAATATTTTGTTTGTGAGTTTAGAAGACATATTTATTCGCATAGATTGCTGTAAATTATTATTTTTTTTTTACATTTTCAAATCAATCCGGCGATTTGTTTCAAATATTTCTATACAGATGCTCGTGTTCTGCGTTCGATACGTGATGGACGTGCTTGATTGCTATCTAGCATTAAAATTTATGCACGTATAAATTTCGTATAATGTTATTTCGTAACTGAATGATGTTCCATTCGGGATTTTCAAGGCCCGCCGGCTTGTTCTTCGTCAGGTCGCACGTGTTCTCTCACGTCTCCTTGGATTCCATGAGTTGACAATAATGGGAAAGACAGCATCCGTCTTCGCGATGACATAAGCAAGTGACGTAGACTCTTGACGGACGCCTACGAGTGCGAGGCAAGATTTATCACGCGTCCGAAATTACGCGTTTTGGTATATTGCAATACCTCTCTCGTTCGGAATTGGGTAATTAAAGGCAAGGCGTGCGTCGCGCCGGATAAAATTTTGCGTAAGAGTGATTCGCGTTCGGCGCGTGCGTGAGCAATGCTATATTTAAGAATCCCCGTCTCGGCTGAAAGATCGCGCGGCGCGGCGTGGCACGTGGTCCAATTATACGCTGGTCCCCGCCGCATGTAAACTCATATGCATCGCCGCGCGGGCTGACTCATTTAAATGCATGCGAGAAGTCCGTGGACGATTCACAGCGTGGATGACGCGGTCGTTAATCGGCTTTTGGTAATCGAAAGATCGACAGGTTGACCCAGATGTACCCAGGGTCTTTAAAAGGACGGCGAAAGACGGCATTTGACCTTTTACATAAGCAACTTTCGCGAATAGTGGATTCAGTTACCGTGAAATAAATTTTGTCTGAACGAAAGTTTAATTTAAAATAGGAATTTTTATATTGATAGTTATTATTCTTTTATCGTGCCTTTGTCGAAGAAAAATTGAGACTGCAGACTCCGCGAATTCTGAACGTCACGTTCGATGTAGAAACAGATGCATAGCAAATATATGTAAAACGTATGATTAGATCGTTTTCTGCAAGTCGCAAAATGTTTACTTTCAGCGTGTTCTTCAAGAACAAAGGCCGCTGCGGACGTTCCGCACAGAGTTCAACATATACGAAAGCACTACTAGCGAGGAGCGTTACACATCCACAACCACACACTACACACAATCGCAGTGAGTATAACTTGCGTTAGAAGTTGGGAAGTCCCGTATATTCGCGCAGTAGAGAAGTACCCTTCATCCGCTATATGATACTACACGATAGGAGCTTATTCTCCAATTACCTTAGATCCACATTTAATAAACGATTCAAGCTTTTTCGATGCACGCGAGGTGCGTTTCGGTGCGACGTTGACACTTCTCGATGGCTCTTGCCGCAGATACACCTCCGAGAGGCATGAGTCCACCGAGACGACTTTTTCAAGCGAGACCTCGAAGCGAAGTTACAGCGCGGAGCAGGCCGCGTGTCGTCCTAATGGCGAGACCATCAGCCCGGGGGCCGTTCCACCCGTCGGCGCCGGTGGTGCCCTGCTCAAGCGTTCGCACGAGAGCGGTACAACGAGCTCCAACAGGCGACAGCATCAGCAGCAGCATGAGTTCTCGTCCGTCGTGGACGGTGGATTTAGTAGCGAGCTTAGGGATCTTAGGAGGGTGGCGCGGGTCGACGACGGGGGTGTTATCGGGGCGGAGAACGTGATTGACGTTAGGGGTATCGTAGATCCGAGCACCGGCGAGGTCCTGACCGTAGGCGAGGCGATCCGGCTCAGGATCCTCGACGTTAGGAACGGTAGAATAGTGACGTCGAGCGACGGCAGGACGAGCGTGTCGATCGAGGAGGCCGCTCGCGACGGTATCATCGACGCGGCGCTGGCCGATCGGCTGTTAGGTCCATGCGGGGTGAACGAGGAGGGTCATCGGGTGTCGCTGCTCGAGGCGATCCAGCGGGAGCTCTGCGACGCCGAGCGGGCCGACATCGCGGACCGAGTTAAGGTAACGACAGCACGTCGCGACGACGGTGGCGGAAGTAACGCCGTCGCCACGGGATTTAGCGTTGTCGATGCGATGAGAGAGGGCTTGTTGGACCCGGCCACGGGGGAGGTCATCGCCGAGAACGGCGAGCGGATCTCGATCGAGGAGGCATACTCGCGCGGCTATCTTACTAAGGTGGATGTGACCGTTAGGGTGACTCGTAATGCCATCGCGCTCTCCGACGCGATATCGCAGGGTCTCGTGGACGATCGGACCGGCCGCGTCGTCGACAGGATTACTGGCGAGTCTTATCCGTTAGACGAGGCTGTCGACAAGGGTATTATCGATCCGAACGTGAAAGAGATCGTGGACACGAAGAGTGACAGCAAGATGACAGTGGCCGAGGCCATGAATCGCGGTGTACTGAACGCTAAGGGCGGTAGATACATGCACGGTTTGTCAATGGAGAAGCTGCCGTTCAAGGAAGCTCGACGTCGGCAGCTGATCGTCAAGCCGATGACGCTCAAGGACTGTTATGATCTGGAAATTATCGATGACAAAGGCAAAATCGCCAGTCCGGCACACCGTGGAAAATTAACGATACTGGAGGCCATATCCCGCGGCGTTCTAGATTCGGAGAACATCAAGTCCATAGTAGATACTCGAACCGGCGAAATGATAACGTTAGCCGACGCTTTAACTAGCGGGATAATCAAAATTGACGGCACGTATCGCGATATGTTGAAGGCCGAAGAGTTCCCTATCTCTCAGGCCGTCGAGAAAGGCCTGATCACGTCGGTGACCCAAAAAAGCATTTTCGACATTGACGGCTTCAAGGATCCGGTTTCTGGCGAATACATCAGTCTGAACGCGGCGTTGCTGAAAGGTCTGATCAGCTCAAAGTCTGGCGGTACTTTCACGATCGACTTGAAAACCGGAAAGACCGTTTCGTTGAGCGAAGCAGAGGAGCAGGGTTACATCAGGTCGGAAGTGCTGGAGATGCTGAGCCGCGGCATCGGCGTCACTGAGAACGGACGCGAGGTGAGCATTCTCGAGGCAGTGCTGCTCGGATTGCTCGATCCGAAGTCCGGTCAATTGCTGGATCCACGTAGCAAGAGAATAGTACCTTTGGAGGAGGCGATCAAGCGGGGACTCATCACTCCCGATGGTGCCGCGCTGCTTACCAGCTTACTGAATATCGCGGTTACCACGCAGACCGTAACGAAGACCGTCAGAACATACGTGACGACTCTGCAAACCGGCGAGACTGTTACAAGAGATTACAAGATGAGTTACGATGAAGCATTGAGCAGCGGCTTAATCGACGAAAGTAGAAACGAGTTTAGGGATCCCGACTCGGGAACGACGATGTCCATCGAAGACGCCTTTAGACAAAGCTTGCTCGGTGATGATGGTCATCAACGCGTTGTGCATTCACGAGAGCGTACTCCGGATTCGTTGCAGACAACTTTCGAAAGCACTTTAACGACAAGTATCGGTGAAGCACCTAGAAGTAGAAGAAGCGAATCGCCACCTAGGGCGATTGGCACGGTTACTAGTATTATTACCAAAGAAATTGTTCCGCGAGCATCATCTACGCCGACGAAAGAGTCGTCTTCGGTTACAATAACGATCGCACCATCAACGATGACTGATTCTGTTTCTTCTGTACGAGATTCAACGGCCAAAGAGACCTCGTCAGCCACGAAAGTTAGCGAATCGAAATGGATGTCGAAAACAAGTTCGTTCGACGAAACGCATGTACTAAGTCGCGATCTTAAATCACCTTTGCGTGATGAAAAACAAGACATGGAAACAGAAGTAATCTCACCAGTTACACCAACTACTAGTCGTACATCGGAGATCATGAAATTCATAGACAACGAACGTGTTTCCATGGATAAACGGGTATTCGAACTACCCACGGATGGCTGGACACTCGCCGAAGCTATCGACAGGAAACTATTTGACCCTGCTACAGGTCTTTTCATAATTCCAGGCACCGACAGATTGGTTTCTTTCGAGGAATGTATTAAATTGCAGATCATTAATCCGAATTCTGGTTTCGTTATCGATCCCAACAACGGAAGAAAGATATCCTTGGTGCGAAGCTTGGAGAAGAATATTCTGGACTCCACCGGTCACTACTGTTATCCGCAAAAGATCTCGATGAGAGAAGCGATCGCGAATGAATTGATCATACTGGAAGGCAGCTCGAGCATGGATAGCGATAACACTAACCAGAGACTTCTTCAGATCACGAGGGTTTCGGGCAAGCCCGATAAAGTGGAGTTGACGCATGTTGGCGATCCTTCTCAGCAACTGGAGATAAAGACCAGCGACGAAATATCTACGCCGGATCCGGTGCAGGTAACTCAAGGAGTGATTTACGATCCGGCAACGGCTCTAGTGATCTCCACCAAAACCGGCAAATCTGCGAGTCTCTTAACCGCCGTTTCCGAAGGAACGATACCATCTGCCGCCGTAATCGTCAAGGATCCAACGACGGGTAAAGACATCAGCATGGCGGATGCTGTCAACCGCGGTATTCTCGATATTAATACGCGTGAATATAAAATCGACGATGGCAGGAAGATATCTCTGATCGACGCGGCAAAATTCGGAGTGGTAGCCGTTCTTGGTGCTCCCCTTGCGGCCACCGCGGCCGCCATAGAAGCGGTACAGAGAACGATGGTGAAAGATCCAGTAACCGGTAAGAAAGTGCCGAGGGAAGTCGCCATTGAACGTGGCATCATTCCGATGGACGAAAATACAATTTCGCCGATTATTGAATCCGCAAGTAGTACCCCCGACGAAAATGAAAAAGTTATTGCGAGACATATTGTACACGAAGAACCTGGAAATGTTCGCGTATCGAAGGAAGACGCTAAGAGTGCAACTTTGATTGACTCAAAATCTGTCGGTGATGTTACGGATGGTGAAAGTTTAGGCACGAAGACCAGAGCGCGAGTGACGGTCGAGCCGAGATATCAAGTTACGATTGGTAAAGCGAGAACGTTATCGCAGAGCCCCGAACGAGAAGCGAAGCCTATCGTTCTGCAGAAAATGCGAAAAAGAATAGTAAAAGTTGAGGAAGCGTGCAAGAGCGGTCTCATCGACGTGGAAACAGCGGATACCTTCGCGAAGAAGATGTGCAACGAGAAAGGGGAGCCGATTACACTTTCGGAGGCAATCCGTGACGGCCGAATAGACGCTAATCAGGGACAGATCGTGGATCCACAAAGAGGCGACGTGCTCAGCATCAAGCAAGCTATCGATCGCGGAATTCTGGATCCAGAGAGCGCGCATATATTGGTGCCTTTGGCGAAAAGCTTGTCCGTGCACAGCTTGTACAAGCAAGGCTTGCTGGAACCTTCGGAGGGTAAAATTGTCCATCCAGAAACGGGCGCGTATCTCACCCTCAACGAGGCTATAGTATGCGAGATAGTGGATCCTTTATCTAACTTGATGTTTACCACCGACGGCCGTACCGAAACGTTGATGTCTGCTATCGCGAACGATATTATCGATCCAGAGAGATTGTTGGTCAAGACGAAAAGCGGCAGCGTGAATCTAGTCAAGGCGATAGAGAACGAGGCGATAGAGAAAGTGTTCGAGCTGAAAGAACCGGCCGAATCTTTTAATATACCGCCGGCAGGAATGACGTTCCCCGTAGCGCTAAAACGTGGATTGATAGACATTAGCAAGAAAGAAATACGTCATCCGATTACCGGGGAGCACTTGCCACTGGAGGACGCTATAAAAGATGACTTCATCATGGCATTACCATATCCAGTGGCTCCTGACAGTATCGAAATAACGAAGGCTTTGGAATCGGGATTGATCGACAGGGACAACGCTGTATTTTTCCATCCCACTACGGGAACTCCAATTCCAATTGTCGAGGCTGTCGAGTCTGGCCTGCTCATCATCAAACCGCCGGCTCGCGGTGAAAGTACAGCCATTACCGAGACAATTACATCGTATCACACTATCACGACCAAGACTGTCGAGCTTTTGCCTGGTTATGCACTGAAGAGCGCGATGGAAGTACAAGATATTAATACCGGTAATATTATCACTATCGAAGAGGCCCGACAAAGAGGTATCATCAAGGACGAATCTGAAACCAAGCGAGAATTCACGACGAAAGATATCAAGATGTCTTTCGATCACGCGGTGGAGAAAGGATTGGTAGATATGAATACGGGTATTTTCACCGATCCTTGTACCGGTGCTACGATGCCTATCGCTAAGGCCGTCGAAAAAGGAATCCTCGATACTTCATCTAGCAAGAGTGAATCTGAAACACCCAGGGAATCGTCTAATAACAGTTTGACCGTATTAGAGGCAATCGAGCGGATTTACGACGAAGAAACTGGGACCTTCAAAGATCCCGAGACGAACGAATCCTACAACTTGACGGAAGCGATGAAAGTAGGCCTAATAGAACCCGATTCCGTGCTTTATAACGTGAAAACCAAAGAATCTATCACCACCAGAGAGGCAGTTGAGAAAGGTTTGCTCGATCCCGTCACTGGAAAAATGAAGATCACGCGGGATCAAAAGGATCGTTCGATCAGCATAGCGGAAGCTACGAAAATGGGTCTCCTGGCAGTCGTCGCCGCGCCAGTCTTAGCTGGAAAAGCAGTTGTCGACGCAATTTCGAATCGTAAGTCTAAAGAGACAAAGCCGAGTGCATCCGTGACGACGAAATTATCTGTCTCGGTGAAGGAATCGAGTCCGCCTTCAACAATTATTTCAAGTCAAATTACCCAGAGATCTCATGTCGATTCTCACGAGAGTGAAGAAAAGAAATCAAGCAAAATCGAAATCCAGAAACAAGTGCTTTCAGATGCAAGAATGACCGAAGAGATTCAAATTACAGAGACGGAAATGGAGGACGACAGTCAATTGAAGAGGATCACGGACGAAGAAACGCCAAGGCACATCTCAATAATGATTACGAAAGAATTAACGCCTCAGATTCTTGCGGAATTCGGAGTGTTTGATCCTGTAAGAGAGAAATTCTTGGATCCGGAAACGGGTACCGTCACTTCCTTCAACGATCTAGTGCTGAATCTAAAAGTCTTCGATCCTGATCGAGTGATCGTCAAGGATCTGTCATCCAAGACGGACTTGTACGTGACACTACGCGAGGCAATCAACCGGCCTCTTGTAGACAGGAACGTCGCTAACATGGTCGATCCGAAGACCGGTAAGAAGATACCGTTCTTCGAGGCGGTGCGTTTGGAATGGATCAAGGAGGAACCGGAGGATGAGATAGAGAGAGAACAGTTCGCAGAATTTCAACCTCTGGGCTTGCAAGAAGCTATCGATATCGGCGTGTGTAATCCCATCACAGGAACGATTCGAGATCCGAAAACGGGACAAGCGTTGTCTATGAACGAAGCTATTGATGCGGGTCTCATCGACGCTGACATGCTCGGCGTGAGAAATCCGATCACCGACGAGATCGTGCCGTTTTCCGAGGCGCTGGATACCGGCGTCGTGGATCTTTGCAAGGACGTTGTCATCAATACCGAAACGAGAACGGAAATCGATATCACGACCGCGTTTCTGCGAGGTCTGATTGTGCCCGTTTCTCGTAAGCCGATCTCATTGGAAGCTATTATCAGACAAGGTCGCTATGACGCGGATACGGGAAGAATAGAAGATCCTCTGACTAAACAATCGATTGACGTCGAGGAGGGTGTTCGCAGAAGCGTCGTCGATGCTTTTATCACCGAGATCGAGGACACGAAAGCCGGCTCGTCCGTCTCGTTGGACGACGCGCTGACGATGAATTTGGTGATTCCCAGTACAGGTCGTTTGCGCGACACGAAAGCCGGAGAGCTTCTACCTTTAGACGTAGCGCTTGATAAAGGTCTGATTATCACAACACCGTTCGTGCCTTCGCTGATCGACGCGATTGTTCAGGAATACTATTCACCGAAGACTGGTCTCGTCCTGAATCCTATGACTGGTGAAAATTTAACGCTGAAAGAAGCATTGGCCATTGGTTACGTCAACGGCTCGACCACAGTGGTAAAAGATGATAGAAAGGATAGCGTTATTCCCCTCAACGAGGCAGAGGGAAGTAAGCTGATAGATCTAGTGAGAGGAACATTGACCTATCCACATTCCATGACATTGGACGTCGCCTTTGAGAAGGGATACATCCTGAGTACTGTAACGCCGTGGACGCTACAAGAAGCCTTAGCTCTTCAAATTTACGACCCGAAGTCCGGTACTTTCAATATTGATGGTAATAATTGTACTTTAGAGGAAGCGATCGAGAAAGGTTTTATTAGCAAGGATAGTCCATCGATTAAAGATCCGAGAAACAACGATATTATATCTCTGGGCGACGCTATCAAGCACGGCTTTATCAACGCGAAGACCAGCACGGCGGTGGATCCATGTACCAGTGCGGCTCTTTCATTGACCGATGCATTAGATCGCGGCTTTATTGTGCCGGCGAAACGTAAGATATCCCTACCGGACGCCGTCTTCAAAGGTTTGTACGATCCGAAGACCGGACAATTTACAGTACCTGACACACAAGAGAAGCTTCCTACTGATCGCGCGATTAAGATGGGCGTGATAGATGCCACGACTGCGATTGTGCGAGATCCCAACGGTGACGTGATGACATTCAACAAGGCTATTAAGACTTCCATAGTCGATCCCAAATCTGGGACGGTTAGTTATGCCAGGGGACCGCCTGTAGATTTCCAGGAGGCGCTGGAACGTGGCTTGCTTCTCGAAACAAGAAGACCCATGAGCTTCAGCGAGGCAATTTCTAAGGGCATTCTCGACGAGAAGACCAACAAATTTTTAGATCCGCAGACGGGCAGTTATCTAACAGTATTAGAAGCCATACGAAAGAATCTAATAGATGCTGACTCTGTTACTGTCAAGGATACGAGATCCAGCATCTGGAAAACGATGACGCTAATGGAAGCTATACAATCGGACTACATAGACGGCACTACTGGCTACCTTATAGACCCCAGCAAGGGTAACAGGAACGTATCTCTGAGAGACGCCTTCGAATCTGGCCTCATCGTTGACAATAGAGCCGCCGTGTCTTTGCAGCGTGCCATCCATCAAGGATTGTACGACGATAATACGGGCAAGATCACCGATCCCAGTACAGGCAGAGCCGTGACGTTGCACGAAGCGATGAGAAAATGCATAATCAGTCCTACGTTGCCGTGTTATTGGGACAAACGTGGCGAACGTTTGTTGTCATTAGCAGAAACGTGTCGCGCTGGCGTAATCGACAGACGCACCGGGATGTTCAAGGAACCAGGCGCCAGTGGTTCGGTCTCGTTGTCAGTCGCGTTGCAGCTCGGTCTCATTGTCGACATAGAGAGCATGGGATTCGGCCTGTACGAGGCGATATTGATGAACATGTACGATGTCCCGTCGGGCAAATTCGTACATCCGACCAGCAACCGCAAGCTGACGCTAGCCGAGGCATGTCAAGTAGATTTAATAAATCCTCTGACATCGATCGTTAAATGCACCAGGTCTAACAGATACGTCCCGTTGGCCGAAGGAATTTCCTCAGGCATCGTCGACGACATTCGCGGCATGTATGTCATTCGCGAGCTTGACAAAGCGATTAATCTGCAAGAAGCGGCGAAGAAGGGCTTCATCGTCACGTCGAAGATGCCCCTCTCGATCGAGGAGACGGTCAAGTGTCGCCTTTACCGTGGTGACAGTGGTAAATTCACTAATCCTGTTGTTAACGAGTATCACGACTTGCTTCAGGCGATCAACTGCGGTCTCGTAGATCCTGATACTACCGCCTTGAAGGATGCGACGACCGGACAGATCAAGTCGCTGTTGACGGGCATCGAGGATGGGACGGTCGATGTGTCGCGAGGAAGAATATTAGATCCCAAGACGACACGCGCTTTTAATATTGATGTAGCTTTGGAAAGAGGCCTGTTGGTCACGATTGATAAACCTCTGGCGCAACAAATAGCACATAGATCACCTTTAGAGGCCTCCAAAGCCGGACTTGGCGACAAAAACGTCAAAGAATGCACTCTAGAAGAAGCGATCAACTATCAACTGATCGATCCGAACACGTCGGTTGTGAGAGATCCTAGAACCGGTCGGTTCGTGACGACGGCAAGAGCGATCGCGGACGGTGTCGTAGATCCTTCCGTCAGAGGTACAATTGAATTGAACGGCGGAAGCAAGAGAGAACCGCGTTTTGTGCGTTTCGGTGACGTTACCGTATTCGTCAGGGAACCTTTCACATTTGAAGAGGCGGTCGAGAAAGAGTATCTGTCGCTGGAATCGGGCAAGTTCACGGATCCGATCTCGAACGAACAATTGACCCTCAAGGAGGCGGTCGGTCTCGGTATCGTAGACTCGGACTCGGCGTTGATTAAAGACTCGCAGAAGAAGAAGCTGGTGAAATTGCCGGAGGCGTTCCGCAAGGGCATGATGGACGCGGAGAAGGGCAACGTGCTGGACACGGCCACGTCCAAGTTGTACAGTTTGTCCAAGGCCCTGGAAGCCGGCCTGTTGATCACCCCGCGGAACGGCGTTTCGTTCATCGAAGCGCTGCAGTTCGGTCTTTACAATCCGACCACGGGCGGCTTTCACGATCCCTTCGTTGTCACCTCCGTGCTAGATCGTAGACGCCTCACGCTGGCGGACGCAATCGAGTCGGGTCTGATCGATCCATCCACCACGGTGATTAAAGATCCGTTCACGGGTAATATCGCGAGTTTGTTAGAGGCAGTGAGTAGCGGGAAGGTAGATTCCGTAGGAGGCAGATTAGTCGAGGACACTGACGGCAAGAGTATCGACTTCGTGAGGGCCTTGGAGCGGGGTTATATACTCGCCGCTGAAGCCAGGGTAAGTAGGACCAGCGAGAATGATGCCTTTTACACAACCCCGCGACTCCCGCACCGATTGACTCTTTTTCCTACGTTCGTTTTATTTTTTTCCCCTTGCTCTGTTTGGGTTTCTCCAAGTTTTCTCACACCCGAATTTACGTTTGCTACTGTTTTCACTTACGATTCTCTTAACAGCTTCTTCCGAGAGTTGGATGTGATTATCATTACGCTATCACACGAATCGACATTACGTTTTATTGTCGTCCGATCCTCTTTCCGTTACATTTCGCCTTGCCTTGATCCGACGTGAATTTTTATACCATTATCATTCGCGAGGAAAGCCGCGCTTGCTGGCATGATGGTCCTTGCACGGACCTCTTTAGATCTTCGTTTTCGACTCGCATGACATTTTTATCTTGATCAAGGATTAAGAGGAAATAATATGTGTAATGTGCATGGACATAAATTAAAAACGTTCTCACTCTGATGTTTCTTTCTCCCTCTACTTCATAGAGGAATCATCCCCGTGCTTCCTTTTATCGGAATGCTCGCTTCAAATTATCTCATTCAAATTTATCTCAGATTTATCTCGGACTCTCCTCGTCATATAATATGTCATACTTACCTTCGTGCTTACCTTCCTTCATTACCTTAATGTGGGTTCAGTAAAGGCGGCCATCATCACGAACAACCATTAATCGGACATCGCGTACGTTCTCTCGGGCTCGTCATTTACAATCGGCGATCTGCAGACCATCGGACAATATCGAACATCGCATCATGAACAATACCTCCGCCACGAATATCATTAATCCTAAGCCAAGTTTTGTCGCATCAACAACGCTAATCCCTTTTTAATAAATTAAGTAGCATTAATCTATAATTTTATCGTTAATCTATAATTTTATCATTAATCTAATAATTTTAACTTGCTTATCTTATTTTTCGCGATAAAACTTCCATCGTCTTACGTGCAGCGCGATGCAAAAGTTACATCTATATGATTTATTTCAAAGAGACTTATGAAAATACAGCAATTTCTCAGTAAACTGAATCATATATTCGATCATCTTGATGCTAATAATTTTCTTTGGTTGGGAAAAAAAAAATACAAATCATTCGCTGAGCATACTAATGTGTACGGCATGCATGTACGGAATAAAAAAAATTGCAAATTGGCATTTTTCTCCATTTTTCATTCAAAATTAATGCTTTTACGAGAAGAAGGATTTGGCTGAAAGGACATGCAACCATAGTCACGTCGTTGCTCTCTGTCTTTTATCATCCTTCAGTATTGACTTAATCAGGATACAAGTGACAGACAATTGTGGCAGATAAATTAAAGGCATTGGTGAATAAAAAATTAAATTCGATAATAGTTGTTTTTATAATATGTAAAAGAAGCAACAGGATTGCATTAAGAGATATAAGGCAATAGTAGATGGTAGGACATTTTTAACGTAATGTTAAGTAACGTGAAACGCTTGACGGTAATCAAGACCAACGCAATAATTGTAAGCACCGCATTAGCACTTCCTAATGTGTTACTCAATATTTAAAAAAGTTTTTCATAAAAAATAATATAAGGGATAAGTTTCTGGAGCCTCAGTTGGTTTTATTTACCGATCCGCGCGAGAAATTCGTACGATTAACACATTACGATGAAATTAACAAATGTATAATATCTTGTCTTAATTTTGTCAATTTACTTATTAATATGCGTTTAATTCAACTAGTTTTTAATATCTGTCTATTCAAAGTTATGATAATTATTATACATTTAAATGTTTTTTCCTTTTTTTTCAGGTATGATTATGTTTACTTATCATGAACCTATGTTTTCGCTAGCATGAGTTAGCGGGAGTTTTTCCACGTTGTACATTACTGTATCATACATTTATACACATTATTTTATATGCAGTACATCATCACACGATCGTTACTCCGTCATTGTGCGTTTTAATTTATTTGCTTGTTGGAACGTGTTTTTATTACGTTATTTTCATACTGTTATCGTTTATGCTTTGAAACTGCATATGAAAAAACCCGATACGAGAAATATGCAGTTCTTGCAGATAAATTAAAGCTACCATTTAATACTGTATTTTACCTGTACGTTAAAAGTGTGCCTGTGTTTGCATGCGTGAGATATGTCGTAAGCTTACCTATGTTTCTTTAATCTTTAATTAATACGATGCCTATTATCGTCATTGGTAAGATGGCGATATTGTTATGATTTACCTTAGTTTTCTTTCTAGCACATTAGATTTAGCCAGATAGATGGGCTGCACGAGTAGATAGAAATGAATCGTTTTCCTCTAACTTCGTTTTAGCAAGCGGTGGAGGAAAAGTACAAGCTCTGTGACGAGACGCTCTCAAAACTTCTGCAGTGGATCTCCGAAATTGAGGACAAGCTGGCGAATCAAGATACCGTCAAGGAAGACGTTGAGCAGTTAAGAAAGCAGATAATTATTATGAAAGTAAGCGATAGAACTCACATAACTGTAATTCATGTAAATACGCTTATTTTATAGAATTAAGTAATTACATATGAAATCTAATGTCACTTGTAGGAAATAAAGGAAGATCTTGAATCGCACAGTCGATCCGTTTCATCCTGCCTGGATCAGATTCGACAGGTCGTCTTGACGGGCAGCAACGTGTTATCCAGCGACGAAGTGTCTACTTTGGAGAAGAACGGTCGATCTCTTAGAACCCGATTTGACAAAGCGTTAGATCGCACTGACAAATTAGTTAAACGTCTCATTGGTGCCAGAGATGAATTAACAAAGTTCAAGTCAGTATCTCTTGCATAATTACTTGAATAATTTAGTGTTTTCGAAATTTTAATTGACTTTTTGTTTCACAGGAATGAACTCACGACGTTCTCGATTTGGTTGGATAAGGCCAGAAGCGTGCTTGAAGAGAAGGAGCGTTCCTTATCCGATCTGAACAAGCTCAGTAGCAGCACGGATACGACTCGCGATTTCATCAGCGATGTTATCGCTCACCAAGCAGATTTGAGATTTATTACCATGGCCGCGCAAAAGTTCGTTGACGAGAGTAAAGAGTATCTCCAAGTTCTTAACGACTTCAGGACCAGCTTGCCACAGAGATTGCCACACAAAGAGCCCACAGCTAGCCAGGATTCGCCGGTACGAGCCGAAGTATCCAGCGCGACAACTCGGTACAAAGATCTACTATCCCGAGCAAATCTCCTGTCAGACAGATTGTCGGGAGTCGGCGGCAAACAGAGAGATTATCATGATTCATTGGATAAAGCTAGAACGTGGTTGAGAGAGGTCGAGCCGAAAGTGCACAGAGTTATCTCCGAACCTGTTGCCGCGGAACCGAAACAAGTGGAGGATCAATTGAGCAAGGCCAAGGCGTTGAACAATGAATTCCTCGCTAATGAGCGTCTAGTCGACAACGCTAAACACAGCGTTGAGGCTCTATTACGTTCTTTGGAGGGCCAACTGACAATCAACGAAGCTAACGAGCTCGAGGAACCCGTGAAGGCGTTAGAAGATAAGTACAAACAACTGAGTAACGCTCTGGCTGACAAGTGTCAAGAACTTGACACAGCGTTGGTGAGAAGCCAAGGAGTGCAAGATGCGTTGGACAGTCTGGTTGCATGGCTGAACAACGTTGAGAGTCAATTTAAGTAAGTATAAGATAGATACGATTTTATTATTTTTGAATTTTCTTGTGTTATCTTAAGCTTATCATTATTTTAACTGTATTGTAACAAATCGTATTGCACAGGTCTCTTCAACGTCCAGCAAGTTTGCAGAAAGAACGCTTGGAAGAGCAACAAAGAGAACAGCGATTACTTCAAGCAGACTTGGATAGTCACCGTTTGAGCGTAGAAACTATCACAGCGAACGCTCAAGATCTTCTCCTAAATTCGAGCAACGTTCGCATCGCCAAACGTATCGAGAGCAAGTTGAAGGATGTGCAAAGCAGATTTGAGAAACTGATGGACAAATCTTTGAGGCGCGGTGAATTCCTGGACGAAATCGCGCAGGCCCTGAACGAGTTCCTCGGAGATGTGGCCAAATTTGAAAGTTGGTACGCGCATATGATGGAAGTTCTCGACTCGAGGGATTTGAACAAGCTCGATATGTCGGAGTGCGAGGCCAAGATGGCTCGACTCATCGACATGCGCGAGGATCAGCGCGGAAACTTCGAAGATCTTATACGTAACGGGAAGAATCTGATCTCCAAGAAGGATATAACCGAAGCGGGCGCGATTAGAGATAAGATCAAGGCGCTCGAATCTCAATGGAAGGAACTGAACAATCTGCTCGACGAGAAACAACGATTGTGCAAATCGAGGGCAGAACAACACACGGCGTATGAGAAACTGCGGGATCAAGTGCTCGATTGGCTTACTCGTACGGAGAACAAGGTGCAAAGACTCGAGCCGGTCGCTGTGGATTTGGACAAATTGAAAATACAGCAGGAAGATTTGAAGCCCATACAAAAGGAATATCGTGATTACGGCAACACGGTCGACAAGATCAACGATCTCGGTATCGCTTACGATAGTTTGATGAAGGAACGCGGCGAAAGTCCAACGCGTCGACGTGGCAGTGCTAGCCCAACGAAGAGACCAGGTATTATCCTTGCTATTGTCACTACATATATGAGCGATTTTGCATAGATACTTTTCGACTGCATGATTTTGTGAACTGTGCATATTGGTTTTTTTGTGAACCAATTGCTACTAGTTTATGTAACTTATCAGTTATAAGAACTAGCTCATAGATCTTTCACATTGCATCTTTTTCAGCACACAATCATTGCTATTTTCGTTACGTTTGATCGTTTTTTTCTTAATTTTTTTTTTTGTAGTACTGCGAATGTCACAAGACGGTCGCTCGCCGTCACCCACTAAATCCTACGCAGTTCAAAGTCCGGTCTCCCCAGGTGGTAGCAGCGGATTTAGCAGCCGCCGTTCGAGCCAAGATGGTTTCCATCTGGAGGAATTATCGCCCGTTCAACAGCAACTTTCGGAAATTAATCATAGATACGGATTACTCGGTGTCAGATTGTCGGATCGCCAAACGGAGTTAGATAACATTAGAGAGGAATTGAAGAAACATTTGGACCATTTGAAAGTACTCTCTCAATTCTTGGATAAGGTAATTTCTTATTTTTTTTTAAATAATTTTGTATTTTATGTATATTTTGACTATATAAATATAATACATAACTTTTTTTTTTACCAGATTCAACGGCAGTTGCCTAAAGAAAGTATGCCTGCAACTAAAGATGATGCAGACAAAACGGCCAAACAAGTTAAGGTTCTCGTCGAGGAAATGTACGAGAAACAATCTTTACTGGATAGTACTCGAACACAAGTGCGTGATTTAGTCAGACGTAAGAAAGATGCATACGGTGTAGATAGATTGAATGACGAGATGGAAGACGTTGCCAGTCGGTGGAGATCGATTTCGGACAGATGCAAGGACCGAATTAAATTCTTGGAAGACATTAAAGACTTCTATGACACGTACGATGGTCTTAATTCCTGGCTCGGCGCTAAAGAGCGTATGTTGGGCGCTTTGGGACCAATTTCAGCCGATCCTCGTATGGTCGCGAGTCAAGTGCAACAAGTGCAGGTTTTGCGAGAGGAGTTTAGAACTCAGCAACCGCAATTGGATCATCTCATACAAGTCGGGGAAAGTATTCTTGTCACGATATCCATTGATTCGGCAGATGGACAGAAGATAAACGCGAAGTTGCAGAGCATTTTACAGAGATGGGCGGATCAAATGGGAAGATTGGACGAAAGAGCTCAGAGTTTGGGAGATGCTGTTGATACTAGTCGTGAATTCGATGCCAGTCTTAATCGGCTGCGAGATGCTCTGCAAGGAATCTCGGACAATCTAGACGAGTTGTCTCTTGAAAAGGATCCCGAAGAACAGCTTCGTAAGATCGAGAATTTGGAGAGACAGCTGGAAGGTCAGAGACCGTTGTTAGCCGACGCGGAGATGGCCGGTGCACAGCTTTGTGAGGTTCTGAGTGACCCAGCGTCGAGATCCGAAATTCAAGGAAAGCTCGCCACAGTCGGCAAGATGTACAATAACTTGCAGAAGAAGCTCGATCATAGGAAAGCAGAAATCGAAGGTAATCTGCGAGATGGAAGACAATTCGAGGCCTCTTGCAGCAGAACTCTGGGATGGCTCGCGGATGAACTCGGAAATATGTCTGAAAAGCTGCTGGTGTCTGCCGACAGAGAAGTCTTGCAACAGCAACTTGATCATCATGAGGTATGTGTCACTATTTAAGAAATTTCTATCTTCTTTTCTTTACTTATACGTTTCATACCCCGTCAGTTCTATTTTATTGACAAAAACAAAATATAATTTTTAGCCTGTTTATCGTAATGTGATGAGTAAAGAGCACGAAGTCATAATGCTGTTGAACAAAGGACGCGACATACTTGCGCGGTCTCAGAAAGTTGAAAATCGCTCACTTCAACGTGACTTGGATAAGATGCAGTCGCAATGGGATCGTTTAAAGAAGGACACCGTCGAAAGGCACACCCGATTGCAGACCTGCGCGGAGCACTGCAAGAAATACTACAAAGCTCAAGACGTATTTCTTCCTTGGCTTCGACAGGCCGAGGATAAATTGGACAGTTTGATCCCTACTTCCTTTAGACGCAAAGATATCGAGAAGCAGCTGAAAGAATTATCGTCGTTCAGGAACGAAGTGTGGAAGCACTCCGGGGAGTTCGAAAATAACAAGATGCTTGGCGAGACATTTGTCGGAGCTTGCGACATTGACAAACAAAATGTGAAGAACGAGCTTAGCGCTATGAAAACAAGATGGGATAAATTAAACAATGGTAAATTTATTATTAAAACATTATAGTTTATCCTTAGTTTTTTACTCATGTGTGTTGTGTTACAATATTGTAATTTAATTATTTCTTGCAGACTTGTTGTCTAGAACACAATCGTTGGAAGATACCGCTCGTCACTTAATGGACTTCAATGAGAATTTACGCGATTTGCAACACGGTTTACAACGTTGTGAAGATAAGTTAGCTTCACACGATGCTCTTGGTGGAGCGGCTAAAGATCCGAAACTTCTCGACAGAATAAAGGTAATTAGGTTTATTCTACTCTCATAAAACGAAAATTATGATTAATACAAAATATATACTTATTATGTAATTTTTAGAACTTGCGAGAGGAAACAACGAGTTTGAAGAAACCCTTACAATGCGTGAGACAGCAGGCTAACGATCTCGTGAACAAAGCCGGCGAGCAGGGCGTCGATGCGACACATTTACAAGACGAGATTGACAATGTCACCGATCGTATTAATGACCTGCAAGCGAAACTGGATGACAGATGCAACGAGCTGCAAAGCGCAGCGACGGCGGTCGCGCAATTTAACGATCAAGCAAAATTGATTAACCAACATCTGTCCGCTCTCGAAAAAGATCTAGACTCCATGAAAGCACCCGGTAGAGAAATCAAGATTGTACGAGGACAATTGGAAGATACCGCCAAGATTATTAGCAGAGTTAACAAACTTTATGAAGAAATTGGCGATCTGCAAAATCGCGGCGAACGTTTGGTTGATTACGGCTTCGCTGCTGATGCTGTAGCGACGAGAGATCAGGTTGAAGGATTCAAACGACAAATTGGCAAACTGGATGAGCGCGCGCGTACTAGAGAAGATGAACTCACTTCTACCTTGAACAAGTTGCAAGAGTTCTATCAATTGCACACGAAAGTTATGGAAGGTATCAGCGACGCAAACGAACAGGTCAGGAGATTTAAACCTGTCGGATCTGAAGTGGACTCGATTAAAGCTCAGCAGGAAGACTTCAGAACTCTCAAAGTTAAGAAGATTGAACCACTCGCACACGCCGTTGAAAACTGTAATGCGCTCGGTCAAAACCTTATACAAACTGCAGGACGAGATGTCAATACCAGTAATATCGAAAAAGACGTCGATAAAATGAACGAAAGGTGGAACGACTTAAAAGACAGGGTGAGTATTTGATTTGTATTTAAATGTATATATATAATGTCTAATATATTTATGCAAGAATTAACAAGATGCATTGTTTTATTGTTTAATTAATAATTATTTATTTTTTAGCTAAACGAGCGCGATCGCAAGTTGGATGTTGGATTACTACAGTCGGGCAAGTTCCAGGAAGCTTTAGACGGTTTAGAGAAATGGTTGACCGATACGGAAGAGATGGTTTCGAATCAAAAACCACCTTCGTCAGATTACAAAGTCGTGAAGGCGCAATTACAAGAACAGAAATTCCTGAAGAAGATGTTGCTGGACCGACAAAATTCTATGACATCCCTCTACAACATGGGACGAGAGGTAGCTGCCGATGCGGACCCGAAGGAGCGTAAGGCCATCGAGAAACAATTAAATGATTTAGTAGGCAGATTTGACAATTTGACAGAAAGCGCCGCAGAGAGAATGGACGCTCTTGAGCAAGCAATGGCGGTGGCAAAGCGATTCCAAGATAAATTGATACCACTTGCTATCTGGTTGGATAAGACGGAGAAGAAAGTGAGAGATATGGAGCTAGTCCCTACCGACGAGGAGAAGATACAGCAGCGGGTCAGTGAGCACGACATACTTCACGAAGACATTATATCGAAGACACCAGACTTCAGCGAACTCACGGAGATAGCCAGTCAACTTATGTCGCTGGTAGGCGAAGACGAAGCTGCTTTGTTGGCCGACAAGCTTCAGGATGCGGCAGATAGATACGCGGCTTTGGTCGAACGATCCGAAGCTCTCGGTAGTTTGCTGCAACGTTCGAGACAGGGCTTACGTCATCTGGTTCTTACATATCAAGATTTACAGGCGTGGATGGAAAGCATGGAAATCCAATTGTCCAAATATCGCATCTTAGCTGTACACACGGAGAAGCTCTTGCAACAAATGGACGACCTGGCGGATCTTACAGAGGAGGTATCTACACGGCAAACGGAAGTCGACAGTACCGTTGATTCCGGCCTAGAACTGATGAAACACATTTCGAGTGACGAGGCGCTTCAACTGAAGGACAAGTTGGACTCCTTGCAACGACGATTTAACGATCTCGTCACGCGTGGCTCGGATCTTTTGAAACATGCTCAAGAATCTTTGCCACTGGTGCAACAATTCCACGATAACCACAATCGTCTGATGGATTGGATGCAAGGCGCGGAAACTGCTTTGCAGTCGGCCGAACCTCGCGAGGAAGAGATTATCCGACTCGAGATGGAGATATCGGAATACAGACCCGTCTTGGACAAGATCAACGCGGTCGGCCCACAACTGTGTCAAATGTCACCAGGAGAAGGTGCTGCGACCATCGAAGGTCTCGTGACCAGGGACAATAGGCGATTCGACGCGATTGCCGAGCAGATTCAGAGAAAGGCGGAAAGAATTCAGTTGAGCAAGCAGCGATCCTTGGAGGTGATCGGCGATATCGACGATCTGCTCGACTGGTTTAGAGAAGTGGACAATCAACTTCGAGAGGCCGAGCCGCCCAGCAGCGAGCCTGAAATTATTAGAGTACAATTGAAAGAACATAAAGCGCTCAACGACGATATATCCAGTCAGAAGGGTAGAGTCCGTGATGTTATTTCGACTGCGAAGAAGGTGATACGCGAGAACACTCAGCATGAAGACACGTCTACCATCAGAGATAAGATGGAGGACTTGCGCGAAACGATGGAAATTGTATCAGCTTTGTCGACAGATAGATTGGGAGCTCTCGAGCAAGCTCTACCGTTAGCGGAACACCTTCGCGATACCCACGCCGGCCTAGTCAGTTGGCTCGAGGAGGCTGAACAACAAGTCGCTATGTTACCCATGCCCGCTTTGCGACCTGACTTGATAGCGACCCAACAGGACAAGAATGAGCTTCTCATACAGAGTATCAACGAGCATAAACCTCTGGTGGAGAAGCTCAACAAAACCGGTGAGGCACTTATCAAGTTGTGCAACGAGGAAGAAGGTATAAAGGTACAAGACATTTTGGATAATGACAACGCTCGCTATGCGGCACTGAGAGCCGAGCTGAGGGGCCGGCAACAGGCGCTGGAACAGGCACTGCAGGAATCCTCTCAGTTCTCCGATAAATTGGAGGGTATGCTGCGCGCACTGTCTTCTACCGCCGATCAGGTGAACGGCGCCGAACCGATTAGTGCCCATCCGCCTCGTTTACGCGATCAGATGGAGGAGAACGCCGCCTTGGCAGACGATCTCGCTCAGAGATCCGAGGCTTACGCGGCCGTTAAGAAAGCGGCGGATGACGTGATCAGCAAGGCCGGCAACAGGGCCGATCCGGCGGTGAAGGACATCAAACGCAAGCTGGATAAGCTCAACAAATTATGGACCGACGTACAGAAGGCCACGAATAACCGCGGTCGCACCTTGGACGATACTCTAGCCGTCGCCGAAAAATTCTGGGCCGAGCTGAACGGAGTTATGGCCACTCTGAGGGAGTTGCAGGACGCGCTGGCTGGACAGGCACCACCTGCGGCTCAACCAGCCGCTATTCAACAACAGCAAGTGGCGTTGCAAGAAATCCGACAGGAGATCGATCAGACGAAGCCGGATGTCGAGCAAGTCCGAACCTCGGGACACGACTTGATGAGCTTGTGCGGCGAGCCGGACAAACCTGAAGTGCGAAAGCACATCGAAGATTTGGATCAGGCTTGGGACAACGTCACTGCTCTGTACGCTAGACGCGAGGAGAATCTAATCGACGCCATGGAGAAGGCGATGGAGTTCCACGAGACGCTGCAGAACCTGTTGGAGTTCTTGCAAGAGGCCGAGGACAGATTCGCGGAGATGGGCCCGCTTGGCAGCGACATCGACGAGGTGAAGAAGCAGATCAAGCAGCTGGCTAATTTCAAGGCCGAGGTGGATCCGCATATGGTGAAAGTCGAGGCGTTGAACAGGTGAAAATTTTATTTTTAAGTAAAAGCAAGAATCTACATGTTAATGGCGTTACAAAGAGTTCAGTGCGCAGCATTGTCCCCTTTGTGCAACTCCCATCCGAGAATCGTTTGCGATGAACGACCTTTGAGAAAACGTAAAATTCTAATCCCGACTTTTGTTTTTCTGTGCCGGTTCCCGAACATAGGAGTCTTACAAGGCAAGTCAATCTCTCTCTGTGTTGTCGCTGGTAGTTAGAGCATGGCTTCATGTTGTTCTGAACGTGTTTACTTCCCTCCCCCGTTTAGTTTAATAATCTTGCTGCCCCCATAACAATTTGCGTCACACATTTAATCGGATCCTCCCCCTTTATGTTACCTCTAGGCAAATTACTCAGCCGCATGTATCAGGTAAATCGAGTGATCAACCACGAGAATTCGTAGACGATAATACATTTTACTTTCTTGATACAAATAATGTGGAAACGGCAGTAATTAATATCCAGTTTTGATATTAATTCCTCCGGTAGTTAAAAACTCATTGAAATTTTTATACCCATCCTCCCTGTAGATGGTTCAATGTTGTGTGGTTCGAGTACATATAGCAGCATATACGTTGCTGCATAACGTCAAGAAAAGTGGCTATGTGCTTTCTAATATTAGTCTTTCCGTATCTAGGCAAGCGGCCGAATTAACGGAAAGAACATCCTCCGAACAAGCAGCAGCCATCAAGGAACCGCTCGGTGCCGTGAACAAACGCTGGGACGGATTGCTGAGAGGCTTGGTGGAGAGGCAACGATTACTGGAGAACGCGTTATTGCGACTCGGTCAATTCCAGCACGCTCTGGACGAGCTATTGGTGTGGATCGAGAAAACTGACAAGACGTTGGATAATCTCAGACCAGTAGCGGGTGATCCACAAGTGATCGAAGTCGAATTAGCCAAGCTGAAGGTTCTAGTGAATGATATACAAGCTCATCAGACGAGCGTTGACACTCTGAACGATGCCGGACGACAATTGATTGAAGATGGCAAAGGTACCGCGGAAGCGTCTACTACAGCCGATAAACTGGGCACTCTGAATCGCCGTTGGCGAGATCTGTTGCAACGCGCCGCTGATCGTCAACGAGAACTGGAAGATGCCTTACGAGAGGCACAATCCTTCACTGCTGAGATACAGGACTTGCTGTCGTGGTTGGGCGACGTGGATAACATGATAGTAGCTTCCAAGCCCGTTGGTGGATTGCCCGAAACCGCATCCGAGCAATTGGAACGCTTCATGGAGGTGTACAACGAGCTGGAGCAAAACCGTCCGAAGGTCGAAACGGTGCTGCAACAAGGACAGGAATACCTGAAGAAAGCGGATACGACCAGTGCCGGTGGATTAAATCACAATTTGCGAACGTTGAAGCAAAAATGGGACAACGTGCTTTCGCGCGCCAGCGATAAAAAAATTAAGTTAGAAATTGCCCTGAAGGAGGCCACTGAGTTCCATGACGCGTTACAAGCTTTCGTTGATTGGTTGACTAACGCCGAAAAGATTCTGACGAATCTCAGACCGGTCTCAAGGGTTATGGAAACCATACTTCAACAAATCGAGGAACACAAAGCATTCCAGAAAGACGTCGGCGTCCATCGCGAAACCATGCTGAATCTCGACAAGAAAGGAACTCATCTCAAATACTTCTCTCAAAAACAAGACGTAATTCTTATAAGAAACTTGCTCGTGAGCGTGCAACATAGGTGGGAACGAGTAGTTTCTAAGTCAGCCGAGAGGACGAGGGCTTTAGATCACGGTTACAAAGAAGCTAGAGAGTTCCACGATAGCTGGTCGAACTTGATGAACTGGTTGGACGACACTGAGAAGACGTTGGACGAGGTCGCTGCCGACGGACTTGGCGGCAACGATCCGGACAAAATTAAATCGCGTCTCAACAGACACCGCGAGGTACAAAAGGCATTGAGTGCTAAACAAAGCACGTACGATAACACCATGAAGAACGGCAAAACGTTGAAGGATAAGGCGCCGAAGACTGATGAACCTGCCTTGAGAGAACTCCTGAACGAATTGAAGAACAAGTGGACTACAGTCTGCGGTAAATGCGTGGATCGACAGAGAAAGTTAGAAGAAGCTCTATTATTCTCCGGACAATTTAAAGATGCGATTCAGGCACTGCTGGAGTGGTTGAGCAAGACCGAGAAATATCTGGCCAATACCGGACCACTTTACGGCGATCTGGATACAGTAACTAATTTAGTAGAGCAACACAAAACTTTTGAGAGAGATTTAGATTTACGCGCCTCACAAATGGAGTCCGTCATTAAGACCGGTCGTGAACTTGAATCTAAAGCCTCTATTGAAGACGCATCGATGATCAGATCGCAGTTAAACGAATTAAACAGTCTCTGGGACAGAGTAACCAGTCTCTCATCGAAGAAGTCCAGACTGTTGGAAGAAGCCATCAGAGAGGCCGAACGACTTCACAAAGCTGTTCACGTGTTGCTGGAATGGTTGAGTGATGCAGAGATGAAGCTACGATTCGCCGGACCGTTGCCGGAAGACGAGCAGGAAAGCAGAAACCAATTGATGGAGCATCAGAGATTCCTTCGCGAGTTACAGACTAAGGAAATTGAAAAAGACAATACGTTAGAGTTGGCACATATTATTCTTGGAAAAGCGCATCCCGATGGTGCTGCAGTTATTAAACACTGGATCACGATTATTCAGTCTAGATGGGAAGAAGTGGCAACCTGGGCCTATCAAAGGAATCAAAGACTGGAAAATCATATGCAGGGGCTACAGGTTTGTATTATATATGCTTTCACATATTTTATCTCATAGAAAAGACTGATATAATTACTTGTATATTTGTAGGATCTTGATAATCTTCTTGAGGAGTTATTAGCCTGGCTCGAAGGTTTGGAGAACACTTTGAATGCCTTAGAAGCGGAACCCTTGCCCGACGACAGGGCTACGCTCGAAATGCTTATCGCGGACCACAGAGAGTTTATGGAAAATACCAGCCGAAGACAAAACGAGGTTGATCGCGTGTGCAAAGCCCGACAAATCAAGCCGATAAAGGATACGAGAAAAATATCGAAAGTCAGATCACCAGCGCCTATGTACGTATTTATCCACATGAAAATTTATATGCGTAACGCTAATATATTGATACAATAGAAATTCTCGTTTTTGTAAAGCAATACAGATACGTGATGGATGCTGATAATATGTGCAGCATTGTATTTCATTATGCTTGCTCCGTATTCGAATCATTAAGCTTTGTTTGCATTATGCTCTTATATGTGTGCTACATTTGTCTGTGCATTTAACTATTTTTGTTTCACGAGTTTTATCGTGCACATTACAATTTTAGGAACAGTTACAGACCACCAAGTTTGATAGGATTTTTTATTTTGCTAGATGCCTGCAGTTTTTTTTGTATATCATCTTTTATGTCTTGAATTTCGTATATTGTGTGTATTTCACTGTTGCATGATATGTTGCTTTTGCAATGGGATTTCAGTAAGGATCTCTATCAGGATAACGAGCATGAGCAGCCTCAGCCTCGTAAACAAAGGTGCGTTGTCCATCATAACATAGTAAATATTTTCTACATATTTCAATCGCATAGCCTTTTCGTAAGTACAATGTTCCTGTGTTTAATACGCGCATCTTTAGTAGCAATGTATACGTTTATTTTTGTACGTCTTTGTAATATTCAAGACACTACATTCTTATCACACGATAATTCTTGTTCGCACAATAATTTCACGGAATCCAGCAAGAGTCTAGAATTTAGTTAAGTGTATTAACTCACTCGCTTTTCACTCGTGACTGTGACATGCATAAACTTACTACTATTCACAATGCACTGTATTAAAAAATTTAATCAGATATCTCCTTTTGCGTCTTGTGTTATACGTTACGTCATTATAATGCATACACATAGCTTAAGACATCGTCACAATTAACAATCTCTTTTTCAACCCGGTATGAAACTGATTTTTTAAAGATTTATCAAGTATAATTTCTACATGTACGTCAAAATTATACGTTCGATAAAAACTCGCGTTAGTTTCACACACTTTTATAATCTATTACTTACATGAAAGAAAACCAATCTATAAACCGGAGTGCTGTATCAAAGAAGATCGTTTTATAGATGCCTTATTTAGTAGAGAATGTTTGAGTGATGTGACGCATGTTCCTGTTTAGCCGAGGCAGCCCAGGTCGTGACAGAACGCCAGATCTTTCATTGCCACACATCGGTCCACGCTTCCCACCCAAAGGAAGGTTCGTTACGCCTAGTCTTATTTCAGTTCATTCTGCGTCATTTCATAATTTTCACCCGGAGAATCATACGGGGATCACTACGCTATATATGACTCAACGTGTCCATTACAACTCACTAGTGTCTCGGTAATGGGATTCTTGTTTTTTTTTCTATTTGCGGGATGTGATTGGGTTTAATGAATTGTTACTGTTCGTTTACAAAGCTGTCTGCCTTGTACTGAAAGTGTGAAGTTTTGGGTTTTCAGATGCAACATTTACATTTGAACTTGTTATCGAGTTCTTCTTTATTTTCGCGTATATTTCGTCGTTATATCTCTTTTTGTGAAATTATCTCGATGATTAGTTGCCCCCTTTCCTTCCTTAATTAAGATGACATCTCACATTTCTAATTCTTACATCTTAGATGTATATCTACTTTTCGTATACAAATACACATATATATTTTCTTTCCTACAAGCAGCAAAGGAGCCGAGCCGGAATTCCGCAGTCCGAGAGTTAAGCTTCTCTGGGATAAGTGGCGTCACGTTTGGATGCTGGCGTGGGAGCGTCAACGTCGTCTGCAGGATAGATATAATTACATTCAGGAAGTGGATCGCGTGGCTAACTTTAGCTGGGAAGAGTGGCGCAAACGGGTGAGATTTGCATAGATTCGTCTTTTTACTTCTGATGGAAATAAAAATCTAATTATTTCTTTGTCAATTATCATAAACTATTTAAATGCATGATTTTATTTTCTAATTACAGTTCCTGAAATTCATGAATCACAAGAAATCCAGGCTGACGGATCTGTTCAGGAAGATGGATAAAAACAATGATGGACTTATACCGAGGGAGGACTTCATTCAAGGAATTATGAACACCAGTACTTATCATATCGCTTATTTGTTTCCTAAACAAAAGCAACTGTATTTTTCTACTGTTCTAATTGTTTAATTCGTAGAATTCGATACTTCTCGTCTGGAAATGGCTGCTGTTGCCGACCTCTTCGATCGTCACGGCGAGGGTTTGATAGATTGGAAGGAGTTCATCGCCGCTCTGCGACCCGATTGGGAAGAACGACGGACCTACCACGACACGGATAAGATACACGACGAAGTTAAACGACTGGTCATGCTGTGTACTTGTCGTCAGAAGTTCCGCGTTTTCCAAGTTGGCGAAGGAAAATACAGGGTACGTGTACAGTTGTAATGATTTAATTAAAGCGTCTAGCTGATTTTAATTGCGATCACGTTTATTATTGATGTATCACGTATGACTTTATCGTGACGACTGGCGAAATTACAGTTTGGCGACAGCCAGAAGCTGCGTTTGGTTCGAATTCTCCGCTCCACTGTCATGGTACGCGTCGGTGGAGGCTGGGTAGCGTTAGACGAATTCCTTTTAAAGAACGATCCATGCCGCGGTAAGTATTCACCACAATCCTTTAATCTGCGCGATATTTATAGACGATCCGAGATTAGGTTGAGATAAATCGTAACCGTATACTAGTCTATCCACGAATTTTTTTTATTGTCAGTATAGTGAGGAAAAAGAAAGTAATTAATCAAAACGACTTGTAATTGAATGAACTATTGGGTTAATGCGAAACATGTTTGCAAGGCAAGTTACTCCTTAATTGCAAGCAATTGAAATAACTTTCAAAAGAAATTTTCTATGGTACTGTTTCCTTTTCTCTCTATCCTTTTCCCCAAGAGGCAATTAAACTTGCGTTCCCGTTTAATTTCGATATTTCTAATAATCGAAAATGACGCTCTTAAGTATTAGTTATTATAACAATGTGTTAACGTTTGGTTTTTGTTTTCATCGCTCTTACTTCATATTAATCAACATTACTTTGCTGCATTAAATGTAGGAATGTGGTATCATTTAAGAATTCATTGTCATTAACGAAAGCATATCTGAACGTCGATTTGATATAACTACTCTATATTCTAGCGAAACTAACTAAAAATATATTAAGATTATGTAATATGTATGCTATGTGTACGATTTCGACTCCTGAGGTGTCATAACATTAGCATTAATCGGACCTTAAATGCAAATCATATTAACTTAACGTTTAAAGAAGAATTGAGAGTAGTATACAACACACTCGCTGTTTATTGCTTTGCTTATCTAACGACTTTTCCGGTACATGTATATTGGTTTACTCCGTTGGTTTTCGATCCGGTACTTGTTATCATTTTTTTACATTTATATTTTACGTTTATTATATTTACACAATGCATGACACAATTAATTTAATTTAATTGCATATCATTGAATTGCGTAAAAAATGTCTATTGTCGTTTCTCTCTAACTTTTTCTGTATTTCTTTTTTCTTTTCTTTCTCCGCCTTTTCCGCCAATGGTAAATTCATCAATTTCGGAATATCAATCTTGAGATAATCATTAATTCTACGTCAGAGAACCTTTTCTGGTATAGTACGATTTCATGAGTAGTAGGTAGAAGGTAATATTACAGTAGGCATATCTAACGTCTTGTTAACTAATGTACTAACATTAACATAATAACTGTCCCTTACTGTCCATCAATCCTCCTTACATTCCCGTACGTCTGACTCTACGACAAACATTTCTGTTTATTTCATTTTTCTTCTGTTTTACGTTTGTTTACCGAATGTGTTTCCGTCGTGTTTACCGAAAATTATTAAATTTTCAAATTCGCGGCGCATGCATGAATATGTATCTCGCTCTCTTTCCAATCGACTCTGTCTCTCGAATCGTGATTAACTCGTTAAGTTTTTCTAATGCCAATACCGGATCCTAACAAACCGGAACAACATGAGGGTTGGTGTCCGCTCGGTGAGAACTGTTTTACGTGCACATAATTCCGTTCATGGTCTATACGGGTTGAGCGAAACCCGCTCATTCGATTATTAAAATGTCTTATTCGAAACTCCAATTGGTATTGGATATTTATGACACGCCCGAGACGCACGCTAATAGCAACTGTTACAGTATAGACCATGAAGGTGGATATCCCTGCGTATGGTGCATGACCTTATTAGCTTGTTCGAAATAATTTTTCGACGTGTTTGCCTTTTTGTTGAGTATGTCTATATATACGTGCGTATACGGTTGTATTATATGGAACGATTAAATATTGGCAATTACTGTCTGGGTAAGGTAAATAGATTGCGCAGATGAAATTAAACGCTATAGTTATACTGCGCTACGTAATGTTGATCGTCTCACATTTTGATGCAGTTTCGAGTATCAGTTTAAAAGAAAAAGCGTGCCTGTGTTTTATAGTGATGCAGAATTACGAACGTAGTATACTGCAGTCGTTTCGCTTTCTTTCCCCCGTTTTTTTATTTCTTCAGTTTTTTTGTTTTTAGTTTTGGTGGATGGTTTACGTTAGCCAGTCTGTCCCGTATTTGTTCTACCTTTTTGTAGTAATATTCAATGTGATTATATGATTGATTGATTTGCAATGATCAATTTAGATGTATCCTTCGTAGCTCCCCTTTCCTGTAGAAATTTTAATATCCCTGCTAGAAGATAACCAATGCATGTATTTAGTGAATTTTGATTATTGTTTTTATATAATTATTTGTCATACTGGGAGATGAGTTTTGTCTATATGAATATATTAAAACCTCTCCTCTCTCCCTTTTTTTTTAGTTCAGTTTGTCATTAAAATGTTACGTCAAAGTACGTTGGTTTCTTTTGGCATGGTTGCGCGTACAATCCCAAAAGACTTTTTGCGTACAGAGAGTTCTAGGAATGTCGTATTTTCTTCCAACTAAAAATTAGAATCAAAATTAAAAAAATATATATTTAAAGATAAGAGTGAGAAAAGAATATAAAGAATAAGAGAATATAAAATTGTTGGTATAAATAGCTATGAGTTACGAATAAATTTTTATTAACGAAAAATCAATTTTTTTTTAGTGGAAAGACATTCTGGGGTACTCTATGTATTCATTAATTGCTTAGGAATATTGTGAAAATGTACGATAATGGGCGACTTACAATTAGTTAATCATGTTTTTACGCTTATATTTTTATTGTAAAAGAGGAAGTGTGTGAATTCCGTCGCGAATTGCACATTTTATACGAATATCCTAAGCACCGAAATTAGTACTGTATTGTACAAAATCGAGTCAGTGGTAGAATATTTATAGTGTATCTCGTAAATTTTACGTAATAATCATGATAACGTAAAACTTGATTCGAGTGACTTTTTTAAAAATAAGTTTGTATAAATTTGTACCTCTGAAATATTCGATTTTATGATACCGAAACTTTTTTCGATCATATATTCTAAATACGCTGTCTTTTCTTTTTTTTTCCCATGACAAACACACACTTGGATACGCCACACATGCCCTCATGCATACATATATACGAAAACACGCACGCATACCGTGAAAAATTTTTGTCGCCTTTTTTTCTCTTTCTCAAAACTATTTCTCCTGTCCATTGCCGCTGCTCATTGATAACGTGCATGCCTTGATATTGTAAACCTGTATAAAAAATATATATATATTTAATATCGTTACACCTTCCGCTCCATATAACTCATGAACTCTCGTTCCGGATGTTGCCGTTCCGATATTTACACACTCGTTTTCGCTTTCATTTTTTTTTCTTTTTTTTCTCTTGTTAAACTAACACCGTCACATACCGTGCTCGCGTTCGTTATCTCATCTCGACGTCATCCGTTCCCGCTCTCTGTTTCTCTCTCTCTTTCCGGACTGTTTTCTTGTACAAAATAACATCTCTCTGGCACCTCCTCTCGTACCCCGCATCCCCGAAACGCCTTTTCCCTAACTGCGTGCACGCAACACACTGTAGCCAAGGGAAGAACGAATATCGAGCTGCGGGAGCAATTTATACTGGCGGACGGTGTTAGCCAGAGTATGACGGCCTTCCGGTCCAAGCCGAGCCCGACCTCGACGCTGCAGCGTACGCAAATGTCCTCCACCAATGCTGGACCGATCACCAAGGTAAGCAGGGGTCCGCTGTCCGATCGTGGACCACCTCTCAAATGCGACGTACTCGGTCTCGCGGTGCCTTTTACTTCTCTGCCGTTAATTTGTAAATTTGTAAATTAAGCTCGTAGAGTACTCGTGGAATTTTTGTATTAGATCTTTATGGGTGCCGTTGTGGCATCGTAAGATAGAAAAATTTAAATTGCACGTATAGCTCTTACCTGGACAACTCTATCGACGTTGATTTACGGTCTCATCGACAATATCCGTAAGTATACGATATCTACTTTTCGTCATCCGTCAGCCTAGTCGTTTGACGTTCGCATGAGCATGGCAGTTTTTCAGTCAGTTGCATTGTTTGAATACGTAGAGGTAGCTAGATAGATGACGCTTGTCTACTCTCATCACTCGGTCGGTCTTGTAAAAAAAAAACACAAAAAAAAAACAGTTTGATTTTACACCAACTAAAAGCCAGACAGACCCGTCGTGTCTTCGTCTCAAAAGTCTTTGTTCGACCTCAGGAGATGCGATTTCGTTAAATTTCTTGCCTACCTTCTCCGCAAATCCTTCCCGACCTCGTCGCTCTGCAACAGCGAGGGGAGACTGGACTTCCCAACTGCCCAATCACTTGTCCCTGAGAAATCCTATGACGATAAATGTTACATTAAATATAGATTGAAAGAAATTTGTTACATTGTGATCCGAATTACGGTTCAGAAGAAAAAAGAAACACGTTAGAATCATATGTTAGTTTAGCGCGGAGATAGTAGCCGTTCGTTTCAGGAATATTTTTCACTCCGTTGGTGTGCGTGAGCCTCCCGAAAAAGGGGCCACTACGATTGCATGAGGAAGCTAAAGATTTTCGTTTGTGGTGTAGCGGAGGAGTTTATGAGCCAGCTGATGCCGATATTTGAGAATTTGAGGCAAAAGGAGGACCTTCCGTGCTCGTATCCCCTTCACATGCACGCCCCCTCTTATCATTGGGTAAATAACGAAATTTTTCTCAATTTTCTACTTTTTGCCGTTCGTGTGATGCTGTATGCGCACTTGAGTTTGGGTTTTGAGTGCGGCCGCGACACGCGACTTGAAGTCGATTGACGGTGCATTGTGCGTTTTCATGGACTATTATTGCTTTTCTTCCTCTTGCTATATTTCTATATTTCTATATTTGTGTATTATGGAGATTCTCCCCGCGATGATGCATAAGTGCCAAAAGTTATAATTACGATTAATCGACGATAGCATAAGTGATTTTATGATCACAATTGTTTCCTGACTGTAATGAAGTTGATAAGTGCATGTCAGAAGAAAATGTGTGTCGTGTACAAAGAGAGCAAGTAATGTGAAGGAGAATGGATAGAAGCCGAGGCTTAGAAAAAGAAGTTCCGGTTCATTATCATGTATCTCGTGTCACTTTGTCTCTGCCTCACCGCCTGCCCATTTTTCTGTAAGGAATGTATAGAATGAGGAGACTCTCTTACGTGCCTCGACTGTAAATCCACCTCGCGGTCTGATATCATTCGAGGCAGATTCGTAGGCACGTTACATCGCGAAATGCAACACCTCGTCGAATTCATTCAAACACATTGCTGCATCTAGTTGGTTTCTTTTTGGTTGATCGTCGAATGTGTCTGATTTTGTGTCGGAATTATTTGGACGCCTCTTAACTCCCCTGACCCTTGCCCCTCGAGAGAACGATTGACGCGATCTACCCAATTTTGAGCATGACTATATAGATGTTTCTTTCGCTGTTTTTCATCTCTTTTTTTTTAAACGTAACGCGAATATCGAGCAACAAATTACCAGTTAAATTTTAGGATGATTAATTTCTCGATTTTCGCGTGAACCCCTTTTGTCTCGTACTCGAGAAACCAGTCGTTATCGTCGATAACGATCGCAAAATTGTGAGCAACTTGAAATCGAATTTTTGCAAATAAGCTCGCGACAGTAGACACGCGTTTATTCGTACGACAAATACGAAAGACGCATCGGGGAATATGTAGTCAATTTAATTGAACATGAACATGCATAACGAATGTCGTATCCTGTATTGCTGCGTGCGTAGTGGCATTGATCGGAGATACCTCGAATCACCATAAGCTACTATATCTCTCCCAACATCTTGTGGTAAGTTTTGCATGACACTTCGCTTTACCTACTGCCCGAATCTGGTAACTGTTTTATTTTACATTCGTATTATTTAATCTTGGTCTTTCAACAGCTTCGACGAGCGTAATAGACCGCAGACCGGTATATCTTCACTAGTCCACGGCTGTGCACAAGTTTGTGTTGCTTAAACTTTTGACGATGATAACTCCATGGACTTACCCGATCTAATTTAACAATCTAAATTTTAAGAGATAAAGGCTTTTATATTTTACCAGCTGCATTATCTCCATTACTTGGAATGAGTTATCGTTAAAGTAATAATCGACTAAAATTATTTATGTTCTATTAGTTTTTCTTTTATATGTATCTTTTCGTAGAATATATTTTTTATAGCAGAATATTAAAGAAAGCATGTATTTTCTATTACTACAAAAATACTTCTAATTTAGTGATATTTAGTTAATTTATATATAAATATAGACATATCTTAATTTTATTTGATATACTGCTTGCTTTTATTTTTATTAATAAATTGCAAAAGATAAAACTACTGCATTGCAAGCAGCAGATTTTTTTCTGTTTTCCAATAGCTTCAAGAAATATTTAAAGAATATTTTATTGCGCGACATAACTTGCACACAGCTAATATTAACAATTACTAATAATTCTTTAATTAGGCGGCAGAGAACGCGTAATACGAAACCGTACTAATTCGATAGTCGTATTGGACATGAATTAGATATATAATAATTTCTGCTCTTGCACGCGTTTATGTGTAAACTTCATCAGATTTTTTTTCACCGTCTAGGTGAGAGAACGCAGTGCTCGCAGCGTACCTATGGGTCAATCGCGAGCCTCACGCTCATCCTTGAGTGCCGGCACGCCCGACAGCCTTAGCGACAACGAAAGTTCCTTCAAGATATCTGGTAGAAAAACCAGCACGCCTTATAGATCTACCGTGACGCCCGGTAAGATTCTGAATTAGAACCCAGGAATAATTACTTACGAAATAACGAGGATTTTACAGTTAATTATATGCTGCGATGCTTTACAGGTGGTAGCCGTCCGTCCAGTAGGCCAGCATCCAGGCCTGCCTCCCGACCAGCCAGTAGACCAAGTAGCCGACCTGCGTCGAGACAAGGAAGTAAACCGCCTAGTCGATACGGATCAACGCAGTCGTTGGATGGTACATATAAGTTTTATAATGTTTTATACTGTAACATATTCTGTATTGTACTTTCTCCGTTTTTTGAATGAATCTTTAAAGATTATGTCTGATATGTGTAGACGATTCATGCACCCCAAGTCGCATTCCGCGAAGGACCATCGTGGGCGGCTCCGGTAACACTCCGACGTCCAGTAGACACAACAGCGTATCCGGTAGAAAACTTACAACCCCGATGAATGGTTCGAGCTCTCGACCTCGCACTCCAACGGGATTAATTAGCCCCGCCAGTGGAGTGCCTTCCAGGTTTGTAGTAAACACACGTCGCCTTACAGCGAAATATCTCGTGAAATAGAAATCGTGGACTAACTCGCATTAGTGTGCCTTAAATAAAAATATGTGTAACCACAATTGTGTGCATATAGATTAACGATAAGTTTACCGGTAGTATTTCACTTTACATCAAACTGATTGCGATGGCTCGAAGAATGTTATTATCCCGAAAGAATTGATGATTTGTCTTTTAGTTTTTTTTTTATTTAGCCCACCCCCTTTCTATTGTTTCATTTTTTTTGTCTTTTCCTTACATTACAATTCTACCGCGTATATACGATACGTACCACGTAAAATATCATCGAATAGTACTCGAATATGAAGGAACAAAGACCCGATGACGCATTACATTAATTGATTAATTGATCGAGCCTCTTACTACATCTCGTGTTAACCGCAAAACATCTACACGACTAATCGATCGGGTATAGTATTTTAATAATCATTAACAGATCTGGTTAACAACATTTTTTAGGTTTGGCTCAATCCATAGAGCTTCGAGCATTCCAACCCTGACTGGTGTCGGAACACCTATCAGGTAAAGCATATTAACGAATCGGCAATTTCATGTAAAACTGGTTCGGGGGTAGCAGATTCTGCAGCTTTCATTTTGCGTTATGCGCTCCATCATTATAAAGCTGTTTATTAGAAATGCAAAATGCAAAGTAGAAAGCTGCGAAGTGTTTTGTGGTGTGGGGCCATCGCTTTTTATAAGAACGTAGTTTTGGTCGTGGTGACGGCGTGGTACATTTACACCTTTTTTTTCATCTTATTATTTTATTTCGATCTTTTGTGATTGTATCTCTCCCCGTTTCTTTCTCTTTTCGTTTCTGTCTTCTTTTATTTAATTCTCGTAACAACGCGAAAAGAGTCGCTGTACACTAACTGCGATATACCGTCCGTACAATTTAATAACGTTTCGAATGGTAATGCCTTAGCCGCTCTAGGATACCCGTATATGTGGGAGTGGATATAAAATCTCCTCAGTCGACCACCAGCAATATGTCGACTCACTCAACACAAAGCAACCATTCTACGATTTCTACTGATTCCACTGGGTATGGCTTAACTGGCGCTTTAATGTAACCCGTTTTCCGTTTCTTCTCACATCCGAACGTTGATTGTTTTGCTTTGTTGAACGTTTTACTTTTCAAGCATTGTGTAGAACTTCTTTCGCAACATTATTATTTAACATCTTGTGTTTGTCATATCCATCTCTCATTAAAATCTGATCTTGATACTATATATTATATGCACGGCTTTATTTTATTTGACAAAGCTTGCTTCTCTTCTTTATCTAATTATATCAGTAACTCTTTGTTTGATTCATCGTATCGGCAATCCAGCCAAAGTATTCCATGAATTATCACTATTTTATGCTAGCTTCTACACCCATTGCACAAGTTTTGATTATAACAGTTTTATATTTAAGCTCCTCGACTAACGTTTTTGTTTATAACGCTAGGAGCAGTTCCCTGTGTACAAATTCAGCAACTAACATACCAACAGCGATTAAGCAAACTAGGTAAACATTAATATTAATTTAGAAATGTTCACTTCTCTCCTCCATTCGTTCGCTGAAAATATGCCTAATAAAGAAAGGTGTCGATTTCAGTTTGCATTTGAGCTTTATTGGCGTTGAGAGATAGCGCTCGGTTACACGAGTGCATTTGTTTATATTTATACCATTTGTTTCAGGGTACGTACACCGTCCAGTGGATCCAGCACCCCGCTACCGCCGTCTTCGAAATTATCGAGGAAACCCTCCGGAGCTTCCGACACGTCCGTGTCGGGAACGACCCCGAGCACACGGAAGGGAAAACCCACGCCGATCGAACAGCGCGCGCCGTTCCGATTGTAATAGCTTATTAACTGATACATATAGCTTGTAAAATCAGCGTATTATATGACCGAACGAGAATAAATACAAAACATCCCCGCCACGAATTTAAAAATAACCACACGGTATTGCAGGGAAATACGAAATGGGTTATTGTTGTTGTTGTATGTGATGAGAGAGAGAAAAGCGCGTGTAATATGTGCTAAATTGACTGGATCAAAATTTTGTAGAAGGCAAATGACGTATCTAGAAGTTACGATTTTTATTCATTTCGTTGAATTTCGCCAAGTACCGAATGCCATTAAAATTACGAATACTAATGAGTATTTCACATACTCTCTTAGGGTAAGGGATTACAAACAGTTGGGGAAATTTATTTATTTCGTCGCCCGCGTTAGAAAGCGCTTGAAGCCTCTATCTAGTTTGTAATAACACATAACACTGAGATAAATTATTGTTATAAATACCATAATCTTGGTATTACCGAAAGTGCAGGGTAATGCTGTATAATTGAAAATATTTAGGCGAGATATAACAATATCTTCGCTGACTTTCTGGATAAGGACAATACTACTAAAAAGATTTTAGCATAAAAGAAAGAAATCATTATATGTATTATAATTACGCTTATGTTTGATATATATATAACTATAGATGCTTGTGTAATTACTTTTATATAATTTAATATAGTTTGCTCATTTCGCACGCATACCTTTGCGTGCTTTATACACCGCGTGAAACGACCGTAAAGGTTGTTTCGATGAAAATTTTTTGAGCGTTATATTTGAGCAAATTGTATACACACGAAGACATTAATTTATTTAATATTTCCCGCTTGACTTTATTGTATTCGTCGTACGAATTAACGTCTAATTTACATTTGTTAAAAAAGGAAGAGAAACCTTGTATGCGATTTTAGATTATGATACAGATTGTAAATCGACATTCATTTTTGTTATCCGTTTCGCAAAGTGCACCGTACATATTCGATTAGTTTAGTCACGCTTGTAAAAATCAATTGAAATGTAACTTGTATTTTTTTTTTTTTTTTTTTTTTTATTTCTTTCATATCGTATGTCAATTGGATGAACTTGGATTGTAAAGCCGTAAATGTTAATCGATTAATTTTTACAAATCTGCTTGATGTTACTTCCAGAATATTTTTTTGTATATTTGAAGATATATTTGTATTGCGAAACGGAATATCTCGTTGCTTTGTGGAGAAATAAGACAGTAATCAAATGTAGTTTAGGATTCATGCACAAATTTAATCCTCGAGCGGCTGCAGTTGAAAAGTGCAATTCTTTCACAGATGTTATTTTCGCCAAATAATGTCTATGAAATTCTTTTAGCTACATCTTTCGTGCGTCAATATATATGATGGAATTAAATATAAAAAGGCTGAAGTCATCTACGCGCCCGCTCTAAGATTAACGTGCGATATGCTTTTGTTTGCGAATTGATTTATCGATTTAATGATCAATTAATAAGTAAATAATTATTATAATTATAATTACATAATTATATAAAATATATAATTATTAATTATAATTGACTAATGAGAGATTTAAGAGTTCGGGGGAACATACCTAACAGCGTTAAAATAATAATAATAAAAAAAAGAGAAAACTATACGTGTGAATAGTTAAGTAAAATATATTCCATTGCGCGAAGTGTGGCCTGTTAGGTGACGGGTAGAAAAGAGAAACTCTGAAAAAAAGACATTTCCATTTTTTTTACACATATATATACTTTTAGATGCGATTAATGTAACGGAGATATGACTCGCTGCCTCTTATAAATATTACGTAATGCGATTAATCTTATTAACAACTTCTCAACGTATGATTTTCGTTTCTTTTTCACTTACCGAGAAGTGCTGTATGAAGCTAATAATAATAATGATGATGATACAGTGATTAAAAAAAAGAAATATAACAGACACACGCATACACATGATATTTCAATGAGACTCTCGATCCTTTTCATTTTTAGGCGATTGTTGTGCATCATACAAATGTAAAGAGAAAATGTATATATTGGCGCGCGCATATGATTTTTTTTCACGTTCATACTTTCTAATCGAAGTCGTGGTGTGTCACGGTCCAGACACGTGGGATCCTACTGTTGCTTGCGTCCTCGTCGATGCCTAAATTAAACATAGCTATTTAGATATACATAGCGAGATCTTGCGAAAACTGATAGAGTTTTCCCCGAGACGGGGAGAACGCGCCAAACTCCGCGCCTCCAGTGTTGACTGACAGTCGCGTTGTATAATATATCAAGCAGATACCATTTCGGGAGGATCCGATGGAAGAAGCGACGCTTTGTGCACGCTGCACTTGATAAAGGCTTACCGAGTATCTTGGCCGACGGTGTGCCAACACCGCGTGCGCGCGGCTAGACATGTAATTTACGAAGGTACACCCGTGTGCGAGTCTTAGATGAGTTTTGCGCGCAGTTTTTTTACAAACGCTCTGGGTCTACACTTATAAGAATGCGCCTGTTGTATTGCTGACCGTTGTAATCTCGGAATAAATATGTTTTCGCACTGAAGACCGGAGGACGAGATACGAATAATATATGGATGCCGGTGTGGTATGTGCAGGAGAGAATCACTGTCAAAAAGGATGTGTAAAGTATCAGAATATGGTGTTTCTCTACCATACAACTCTGTGTCGTGTGTTCTCTCCATACCCTTCCTTCTCCGATTTTTCTAATCACTGTCGCTGTATTCGATGTTTTTCGTAGGAGGTAATGTATGGCATAGCAATATCGGCAAGCGTTTTACAGTAATAATTATTGCACATCGTTACAGATGCTAGACATTGGAACTTTTTGATAGTACACAGAGTAAGTGTATCATCTAACTATAAAAGCTGCTTTGTTTTCAAAAAGTTAACTTAATACAACTAAAAAAAATGAATCGCTCGCATAGTGATTTCAGCTACTGTCTTTGATATATCTCGAATTCTTCGGATGCACAGCTTTGGTAAACATTGCACTCTATTTTAGCGCGAAATCTTTTAAATTATGATAGACTCATCATCTTGGCATCAATGATCGAATGTAGGAAATAATTAGATCAATTCTAATCTGTAGAACGTAAAAATCAGGTAAAAAAAAACTAAATACGTCATACTGTTGATACGAAAAACGTGCGAAACTTAATATAACGATGAACGCAAAATATATTTTTTGAGAGATCATGGCACGAACTGCTATGAAGTGTAGACACGGTGAAAGAAATTTATAATAAATTTGAAGTTTTTAAAATTGCAACGCTTAGAATGGTCCTGTCTGACTACCTATATTCTCCTTACGCTTCGTCGATTTTAAAGAGTTCAAATTTCCTTGACTCACGAACCCTCTTGGATTCAAAGTTCTAAGAATTCTTACAATCACGGTGTCGTCTCTTTGCTGATTACCACAGCGTTCTAAAATGAAAGGAAAGAAAAAAAGGGTAGAATAAGTAAGTACTTCATTGCTTCTGTAAAATACTTCAATTTTATTTTTCTTATTTTATTTACATCAAGAGTAACATTATAATTAAAGTTAAGCATAATTATTGTAAACAAGATAAATTAACTATTGCAAGTTGTGGTTTCAATGTTTACAAATTATTGCTAAAATTAACAATCTTTAACATAGACAAAGTATCAGGAGAACAAACATTGCTGTGGAAAGATTATGCGCTTTTTAAAATCTAAAGAATCGCAGAATTTGGGATTTTAAATCATAAAAATTAAAAGTTTTGTAAATAAACAAAGTATCAAGAGAAATAATCGACGAAGAGGATGCACTATCTAAAATTCCAAGAATTGCGATTCCGAGAAAGCATCTAAAATATTTCTACATCATAATTGTTTTTTAGCGATATATGGCGTGTTTGACTTTTCTCTCTCTTGCTGCATCTTGCATACGCGCATCTTGAGATACGCGATCTAAATATTTCTTGTTATAGATCGAGAGCTCAGACATTCAATATCCAATATATATATGGCTACAAGCAGTGCTACAAGCATCATGGATTAATGTAGATAGAGTTACCGACCTCAGCATGTGATTCCTCGAATGAATCCTCAAGTTACTACTGGACTTACTTGACCTATATGAAGTTATATTTAATAAAAAATCCGCCCGATAATCCTCGACTTACAAAGACGAGATTTTATTACTAAATGTCGCAATCAATTATTAGTTTACATACGGAATGATATGGTCGTCTTTTTATCGTTGCGTCACCTTGTTTGAGTGGTTTAAAGAGATTGGCGATCAACTGCCAAAACCTTTGTATTGAAATGTGCTGATCATGAAATAGTTGTTTATACGTACGTATACATGTATTTACGAAGGATCAGAATAATGCTTTTTATATAAAATTACAAAAAATGGATGCAAGTAGAATTAATTCGGCAGTCGTAATCAACAAGTTTCTCATCACCTGCGAAATTAAATTTTCAATTTTGAACGTCAGGGATGATATGTATTTCAAAAGTTTCGAGTTCTAATTAATTCTTCGTGTAAATAACAATTTTAATTATTTTTCCGAAACAACAAAAGTTAAAAAGTTAGAGTTACAATTTCTCGAAAATTAAAATGCAAATAACTTTCTTTGTTATATTTCTTATCAGTCTAAGATATACATGAGTTTTTAATCGTTCTCTCTTCTTTCTGCTACCACCCGGTACTCCCCGTTATATAGCAGGAAAATTAATATTTCTATAGAACGTGTAAAAATGATATCGACATTGCATATCAAAGACAAATATATGTAACATAAAAATTCAACCCGTCTGACAGAGATTCCATATGCGGTTTTAATTTTGCCGAGGAAATATTAGTTCTCCTCCCTCGAGAGAATTTTAAATTTAGTAAAAAAGCTGTCTTTTTTTATCAGATATTTGTACTATCCAGTTCATACGATGCCTTTGGAATTTTCATCGGTATAATATCGCATAGATCGCAGTCCACGTTGGTATTTTTGGTATACGATGCATATTATCTATATGTATAATCCGCATAGTAATGTACGCAGTGACCCCGATGAAAGTGGGGTGTAGGATATACAGACGTAGGAGCAGGAGCATCCGCAGGGCGGGGACGGCCGGACTCGTTCGGTATAAAATCTACCGTCCCGAAGCCGACGAAGCATGCAGTCTGCAGTCCACTGCAGTCGTTTGTCGTTTAACGAGTAACCGAGATACCAGCAGCGGTGATCGTCATGTATTGCAAAGTAATACTCCACACATCTTGTTATTTAAGAATCGTTGTTTCGCTTATTATTCGCTTGAAAAGCTGCACTTGTACTGTTCGCAGCACGTTTATGCGTCAATTCTTATAAGCCGGTAATAATAATTTGAAACCTAACCTTGGTAAAGTTAAGAAGCTAATAATAAGAAACTAGTAAAAAAATTATTAACTTTCGCGATTTTGACCTTTGCAAAAATACTTCTAAAATATTTGATAATATTAATCAGTATGAAGTTTTTTTACATTATATTGTTGCATTTTTTACAGTGCCTGAATATTTATTCAGCCAGAGTGACTTCGATCGGAAAGATATATTGCAATTGGCTTATTAATTAACGATAGAATGATTAATATTTTGTCATCTGACATATGGAAAAAAAGACTTAAGGTCAGAGACGACGAATTATACTTCAAATTTTACTATGAACGATTCTGCCGGTTGAATTAATCGTCCATTAAATTAATCAGAGACGAAGTCATCTTTAATTATCAAGTCGATGATATATATTTAACGTTTCATTTCTGATGCGCAGATTATCGGCTATTTTGCTGCCTTATTGGCTGTCGTCCGTGCTGGGATCGTTAGTCCGGGTGCAACTGCAGTAGCCGTCGCGCAACAGCCAGCAGCAACGATTATCAGAGCCGAAAACTACGATTCTCCTCGATATAGCTTTCGATATAGCGTGGCAGATGGTCTCACTGGTGCGTCCCCGCAATATAATTCGTATCCCGCAGGGATGACTGATCCGCGCAATCATCTGGGCTTAGCAAACCTATGGAACTCAACTCAATACACTGCGGACACTCCACGTACAATTTACACGTCATACACGCGCGTTTTTGTTTGACGATACAATAAATATCTGAGCAAGAGTGAAAACAAAATACAACTTAATCTAAGAATAAGGAAAAAGATAAGAATAAGAACAAGAGTCGTATGATAGAGCGAGATTTGATAGAGAGATTTGATATGGACAGGAGCAGAAAGCTAATTTTTTACTTATATTCCTTAATTGAAAAATATAATTTGAGAATATTATGAACCATTTAACTGTAATTGTTAGATGACTCAAACTGTGTAATTGTCAAATTGTTTATCTAAAATAAGAGTATACACTGTTAAATTCAGTAATGTCAAATTATACTCCATTTGAGTTATTTTAAACGTCGTTGATAATTTACCAATAGAGTTAAAATAATAAATTTCGACACACATGGTGGTAGTTAAAAATAACAAAATGTTATTTAAGTAGCTAGTTAAAAGATATTGACTTCATTTATTAAAAGTGATTAAAAATTAATAATTGTGACATTGAATGAAAATTGCTTGAATTTAAAAGTCGCAAACAATAGCAGCGTATAATCGAATCTTATTTCGACGAGAAAGTGTCCGGGTTTAAGACTTCGTAATTAAGAGAGAAGTTAAGCCAAAACGACGTTTCCAAACGTTCCAAATTCGCAAGAGTGAATTCCTGTCGATATCTCTTAATTCAGCTATTTGTTGTATCCGTTCATCGGGTTTCCTTCATCGAATTAGAATTGGAGGAACTTTGCCGGGGAACTTAAATTAAAACATCGGTCGGGACAATACGCGCTTTTCCGTGAGCGCGTAGCGCGGAACTTCGCTCTCGAGGTATTATAAACGCGTACTTACTCTCTGTTATACTTTTCAAGGCGACAACAAGGCGCAGGAAGAGACTCGCAACGGCGACGTAGTTCACGGAAGTTACAGCTTAATCGAGCCCGACGGTTCCCGGCGCGCCGTCTCCTACGTGGCCGATCCTATCAACGGTTTTAACGCGGTCGTGCAGCGGGAACCCGGCATCACGGTTAGAACCGCCGCACCCCTCGCTGCAGCAGCGACAGTGCGCCCCGTGATCGCTGCAGCTGCACCAGCACCGGTTGCGGTCCGCCCGCAGGTTGGTAAATTGAGTTACTTTTTGAGCGCTTTTTCCCTTCGGTCCATTAGTCTCCGCGCGTGATAGAAAGACAGAAAGAGAGATCTATCGTGGGATTCTTTGCTCGATTTGAGGAGAGATTTGGAGGGCTCTCCTTCTCACCGAAAATTGTCAAAGAAAATGCGATACCGACGGGAGATCCTGTACGCTAAATCGAGCGCTCGAGAGAGAGAAAGAGAAAAAAAGTAGAGAGAGAGAGTTGCTGCAAAATGCTTTACGTCCCTGAAAATTCACGCACATTTATCATGCAGGCGATTGTCGTGGGTGCGCCCCTGCTGAGACAGCCGTTCATCTCCGGATCCACGCTGGCCGCGACGAACGTCGTCGCCGCGAATTCGGGACTGGTGGGTCTTGGACTGGGACTAGGAGTCAGATCGGGATCCCTCTATGGCGCGCAGACCGTCGTCGCGAACGGTTATGGCAGCGACAGTGTCGTGAAAATTCACTAAGCAGCAACCCAAGCAGCGGTGGTTCTGCCTCGATTGACGTTACTCGGCTTCCCTTCGCGAGACACGGCCGGAAATAATCCCCGTTCGTCCTCCTGCGTATCACGATCTCCTCACGCATTTCGCGTCGCATAATCGTTTATGAAATATACAAGAAGATATATCTGAAAAATGTAGATTATATGTATACAGAGAAAATATCGTTTATTTATGCTGAAACGCGAGATACTTGGCACTTGAGCGTCTCAAAATAAAGTTCTTCGGTAGAGGTAAAGCGACCGTCTTCGGTTTTTATTGATGACCTGCTCGGAATTAAAGCGCAGAATAGAACAATCGAATTTACCGCTAACAATGCGACGTAAAAGTGTAGGACTTTTGACGCGCAAACGTCGCGAGAAGAGCCGCGTCTCGAGTGATCGATGAATGACGGCTTGATGAGTCGAAATGGAGTTGACATCGACGAGAGAATACGGGGAAGAGGGAAGGGGATCCGGCGGGAAGAGGGGGCTTAGGAGAAATCACCGTTAATGGCGCGACCAAAGGATTTCCGGGCGTTCCGCGGGGGCTTTTTACAAGCGCGCCCGGGGCATTCGCGCTTAGCCGAATCAAGATTCTCAGCTTTTCAACGGCAGACGCGCTGCTTAGTTGCTTTTTTCCGCCGCCATCCATCTTTCGTCGTCGGTCTGCGCCCTCCGATGTCTGCCATCCTCCTAAGCCCAGTCCCGTCTGCCACGTTCCGCACACATTTCACCTAGTTAAACGATTATTTTTTTTTCTCCTCGACCAGCCGTCGTAACACGCCGGGGCCACTCTAACGACTAAACGTTTGGCCTAATCTCCCTGCCGCAATCTGAGATCGGCGCAACGATGATAAATTATTCAGCGAAAATCCTCGATAGCTTCACCAAGATCCAGTAGTCTTTTGGACATATATAACTCCTTGCGTTTAACGTCGTTAAGGTAATCTTAATCAAACGAATTTTCTTCTTCATCGAGTTATTATCTTCACGCGTTAATTATTATCTTAAATAAAATTTAACGGAGAAGTTTTAAAAAGTATTATGTGGACGTTTAAAGGGCTGAAGATGCGTCCCCATCCTTTCCTCTCAGTGTCGCGCAGCCGAGCTCTTCAGCAGTTCGCGGAATCGTGTTTCACGAAAATGTAACGCCGTGTAATATATTCTATTGAAGGTGATAGAACTTGGGTTTATATTCTATCAGCGTGAATCCCGTCAATGTAATTTCCAATATCGCGCAATGCTATCCGACGAAGCTTAAACATGTACATGGTAATTTAGGCGTATAGTATAACGCAATACCATACCGCGATACGAAGGGTGCATCAAGCACGAAGTCATACACAAGTAAATATGTACCCTACTGATGTAGAAGCAGAACTAACAAGCGGTATCGATTAGTCTACCGGTCTTTATATATATCGCGACGTCTCGTCTTCGGTTCGAAATTAATTCCCTTAGACGCCTATTGAGGGGGGGGGGGGGACATTTATAACTCTATAAAGTACGAGATCTTTCAATTTCATCGTATTTCATCCCGTTAATTAATGTATTGCAATTAAATGTGGATATTGATTATTTTATTACGTCAATCTATCAGAATTGCTTGAGAATACGTGCTCGCGCTGCTCGGTAGGGTAATATCGCGAGATTCGGAACGATGAAATTTCATCCCCCGCGACGCAGCAGTTCTTAACGTCGTGTGATTATCGCCCATCGAGGAGGAGTTGCGAGACCCAAAACTTGCCGGGAATCGGGAAGTTGCGGTAAATCCGGTACTCGGCGAAACCTGGAACTTCGGAGGAACCCCAAACATCTGGAAACATATATGTACTCCACCCACGGTGGAGAGAATCCAGGAAGTTGTAAACGGAAAACGTTCAAACGACGCTGTTGTAACCTGCTGTAAACGTGTAACGAAGGACATTTGTGCCATGAGAATTATTACTTAAGTCGAGAGACCGACTTTTTCCTTGAAAATTCAAATAAGAAATCTTTTAATACTTCGAATAAAGTATCAAATAAATATACCATAATGGTACTTGCGAAATAAATGTTTAGATAACGTCGCGTTTCTTCGCGCCGCGGCCACTTCGAAAGATTTTCACCGTGTGTCCGCCAGCAGCACCCGGCCGCCGAGGGTGTTTCCGCTTTGTCGACCGTGTGGCATATTCCCGCGGAGTCTTCCGGGGAAGAAAGTTCCGAGTTTCTCAAGTATTTCGTTTTCCGCGAAATCTCGGAGAGAACTTCTCTCTCTCTTCTCTCTCTTTCGCGCGCGCACGAACTTACGCTTATTATTCGTGCCGAGAGGCCGGCGAACGGTATACACAGACAACGAAAGTTTCAGCTTTGCTCAACCGTCTCTCCGCGTCTCTCAGCACTTCCGGCCGTAACTAATAAAGCCGCAAACGTACCTGATCTATAACTCGGCACGAGGGCGCGTATCCATTAAGAGAATAAAGAAAAGGGGAAACACGAGCGAGATAAGGGGGGGGAGGGGGGTGACCGAGCGCGGATTGCGAGCGCCGGAGGGCAAAGGCGCCGGCGGCTGGCTCGGATTTTAAAGGGTGGGAAGGATACAATATTTCAGAGTGGCGACAAGGAGCAAGCCTGCTCGCCACTGGCAAATTAATTAAATTCCTACAAGCTGCCTGGGTAAGTCTAAGGGGCGTTGGGGAGTGGGGGGGGAGAGGATGTACGAGGCAAGAGAGCGAGGGAGAGACGGTGGTCGGCGAAGCGCCGGCGAGGGTCCCCGTGTTCCGCCCGTGGGAATATTGTAATTAAGATATGCACTTCTACACCCTCCACTTTCCTCGTGGCTCGCCGCCCGCCCACGTGCGACCCCCCGCGGGGCCCCCCACGCCGTACGCCGGGCCGTGATTTACGCTTCGCAGGATGCGGCGTTGTCCGTCTCGACCGCGTCTAAATTGCATCCTATTATAGAGACGCGCCCCGCGCGTCGTTCCATTCTTCCGGCGTGCCGAATCTCTCTCTGTGAGTTATTATGCTATAATGGAATCCCAAATTCCGCGCGTGTTCCATTGAGGCCACGAGCCGTCCGCGACTTGCTCTGCGGAGAACGATTGGAGAACAGAGGGTTGGGGGGGGGGAGGGGGAGTTTCGCGGTTTTCGCTGCGGCGCGGCGCGACCTTTTGGGATCAATCGACATACTTCGACAGCGTTTGACTCTGTGAATTCGATTTAATTGGATCAATAACTGTACGATATCGTATTAGGCCATATGACAGTCGTAGTCGTGGACGTAAGTAACGCACAAGCTTTGGCGTATCCTGATTTGTCAGGTCGAGGACTACGACTGTCGTATATCGCTACGCCATGTTATGTGCTTTGGCCCTTAGGACATGGCGTAGCGATATACGACGGTCGTAGACCCCGACCTGACAGATCAGGATACGCCAAAGCTTGTGCGTTAGAGCCAAAGCACATAACATGGCGTAGCGATATACGACAGTCGTAGTCCTCGACCTGACAAATCAGGATACGCCAAAGCTTGTGCGTTACTTACGTCCACGACTACGACTGTCATATGTGCTTTGGCCCTTACTTACGTCCACGACTACGAGTGTCATATGTGCTTTGGCCCTTACACGTAGTTTATACACACACGTAATATTTTTACGAACGATCGACAGTCGTTCGTCACTTACTTCACATTCGTGTCGAAAAATTGGGGTCGCACTTCACAGCACGCCGAAAAGTTTAACATGCCGCGGTTTTCCAATCACGACCCGTGCGACACCGATCAAAATTGACGGCTGCGATGACGGCTGCACCAGGCACGGGCCGCGCTGCGAGATGTGTGCTGTGGCATTGGTAACGCGAACGACCCGTCGTCATCATCCGACCCACGTCCCGCGTGCAACACGAGATTTCTTGGTGGCTACAACTATGGAAAGCGTTTCCGCCATAATTTTGGGCTTGATCCTGATGTTACCGCTGCTCGTACAACTGCAGACGCTTGTCGTACGTGATCAAGATTAATTGATCGTAAATTGCACCTACGAATTGTTTTCGTCTAAGGGCAGTAATGATTTATTGCGCCGCCGGGTATGTAGGTTAAATACCGGGGAAAACAAATCTCCCCCCCCCCCCCCCCCCCGCTCGTGTGTGTAAAAGGACACGATGCATTAAAGGCGGGCAACTAATTGAAAAAAAGAAAGTGTGACACGCACACGTTCATTAATCATTTTGACCGTGTCTCCCGGTAATATCGAAGTTTAAAACGTAAGAGCGCGGTTCGCGCGCGCGCACACACTTTGTCACCTCGTCTCTCGAAATGCGTTTATTTGTCGCGCGTGCTTATCCTGATTTTGGAAATTTTGCAGCTGCGGCATCCTCGGAAGTTACTCGAGGCGCTGCGATGCCGCTTGATGGAAAGCGCGGACGACGCCCGACGTGGCAGGCGTAATCTGGTCCAGCACTATCCCAAGTTGCCGGATCTGTTAAACTCCAATTCCGAGTCCAGGATGCTGGTGTGCCTGACGCGGACCGTTCTCTCGTTACCCACCGTGCCGCGTGCCGTGCAGTCCGTCGACCGGCAGCAGCGGCCCGTTAGAAAAACGGTCCCGCTGGCGCAGCACTCGTCGTCCTTCGTGGCGACGCGAATCGAGCTGCCGGTGGTGGATATAACGTGCACCTACAACTCGTACCGTTACAAGACCGTCGAGGAGAGCCTGAGGGAGCGATACGGCCCGGCGAATTACCCGCCGGGCGAGGTGGTGCTGAATTACATTCAATTAAACACGCCGGACTCGAGGACGAGACACGAGGATAGCGTCGGGGACGATCTTCTGGATTTTTTCAACGGCAACCACACCGGCACGTACTCGTCGTCGGTGGCCACGAAGCTGGAGACGGAATACCTGAATCTCCTGGATCATTTCGTATTGAGGGAACGGGGGAGAGCTCTGACCGCGGGCAAGTTTACCGAGACGCCTTCGTTTGCGGATGAAAGAAATCTTGAACTGTCGTTTCGCGCCGGTACATGGAGCCAATCTACCCTGAGAAGTTCACTCGCTCAGGAAAGGGAATCCGGGTCGTCTGGCAATCAACGTCCCTCGAAAGGTACGAAATATACGATCAAAGTCAGTGAACTCGTCGCCGCAATCAAGAGACAGTTCCCCGATTTATGCAACTTTAATTTCTGCCGACAGACAGCCACACACGTTTGCATGCAAAATATCGGACTCCAGTTTCCTTAAAAGTTTCAATATTTCAATGCAAAGTGCGGAATGCACTTGCGATCGAATATTTAGGATTCGCGCTAAGACACGAGAGCCCTTATCTTTACTTCACAGTTCGACGACCTGGTCTCCGCGATAACCCATTTCCGCGATAATAATAATCAAGCGCCGCCTATACACCGCGGTCCTTCCGAATATTGTTAACACGCGTCGGCGCTATTCCTCTTGCACCCGTCTTACATTCTCGTCATTACCGCGGCACGTCACGTCGTCGCCTGAATACTAATAGGCGGGCAGAATACAGCAGCGCCCGGAGAGCCGGTGCATCTGGCTCGTCATTCGAGGAATCGTCATCGTCCTTGCTCTGAATAGGGATCGGTAATGGATAGGAGGGCCGGCTTCCGTAGGATAGCTCCCTAGGAATCGCGTCTATTTATTGATCGCCTCTCGGTGCATTGGAATATTCAATCCGTCTCTCAGGACTGCGATCCTGCGAGTACACGGTGGCGCATCTCTTTCTGTCACCGACAACTTGGGCCATTTCTCTTCTTCCCCTCCCCTCCCCTCCTCTCCTTATCCCTCTTTCCCGTCCCTTCGCCGAATAGATCTCGCTGAGACGACTTTATCTCCTACAATCGTAAGTAGCCTTCGATGTCGCATTACCTATTAATACCTTACTAATTGAATCGTTCGAAGTTTGTCTTAAATAGCTGCAGCAATCGTTAATGGGCCAACTTGACAGTTTAAAAATATATCCGTGCCAAATGATTCCGTGAGAAAAGGGATCCGTTTTCCTTCAATAACGAATAGACATCAGAACCGAGATATCTACGCGGAATTATTTACGGAAAAGACAGATTAATTTGCCGTTGATGACATTTCGCAATACGGTCGTAATTTCCCTCCGTGATTCGATGGGCGTTCTAGTTCTCAGGTTTATCGCCCACGTGTTGTACTTAGGTAAGAGGATAATGATCGTGATCTGTCTAGGTATTGAATACAGCCAAGGCGGCGGCGCAAATAGACGTCTCAGCAGCTTGCAGAGAGTGCTTAGGCGATAGTGCGAAGCGGTTCGATCGCGAGGATAGGCGGTAATCCCATCTGCGAATCTTGGCCAGCCGGGCAATCTGTCATGAAGTTGGGAGAAAACACACAGGAAAATGGTAAGTTTAGCGGGCGAAGGAGATAAAAATACAGCGGGGTTTCCGGTTGGGCTATTAGCTCTTAGTTTAAGCCGGAAATTTCGGACCGGAAGCTTCGGGGTACCGGCTGTAGGAGCGGCAGCCTCGTGAGAAAGAGCGTGGTCAGCGAAGGGCCAGCCGAACGTGAAACGTAAGAACGAGGTTCCGGAAACAGCGGGGGGAAGAAGGGAAAGGGGAGGATACGAGGAATAGAAAAGAGAGTTTATAGAATTTTATTCTCGAATGCTGTCGAACAAGCGAGGTTTGCATTAGCGCTCTCCGCGTTGAGATTCGATTAAAACGAAAGATTTTGATTGGGGAAAACTTTCGAGGCGTTTTGGACCCAGACGAGGATTCTCCTGAATAATTTTTCGACGATGACTAAATTATCTGTTTCTGATACACTCAAATTAATAATTTAGATTCGCTCAGTTATGACAATAATATTCATCATATTTGGAGCAGTTTGAAAATAAAGAGAGTGGTTGTCGTTAATTTTGGAATATCAATTAAGATCGCGCTTCGTAACACTCTCGACGATTATCCAGAATTAAAAATATTAAAATACTCAATAAGTTCTCCGATGTTCTCGGCGAATGACAATATTATATGTATAAGTACGGCGTCTTTTGTCAACAGAAATGTAATCGAACGAAACGCGGAGTAAGCAAGCATTCCCGAGTGCTCGGGTTCGACGGTAGAACGAGGTCTGATCGGATTTCTGGCAAAAAGGGAAAGGACTCGGGAAAACATGCAGCAGGCAACAATAGGATTCCGCGACAAGTCGATTTGTCGTAGAGTCAAGTTCGCCGACACGTCATTTGTCGCCGTTACGTTCTTAACGCGCTCTCTTCCGCCCCCTCTCTCTCTCTCTCTTTCTTTCTCTTTCTTTCGTTTCTCGGCGATGTCCACGTCGACATCCGAGTGATTCAATCGCGCCCGTAAGGGATTTTACCATGCAGGCGAAACGCGTTAATAATGCGAGGTAATTCGAAACTCCGTCGCACATTCGTATTCGGGTAAGATATTTCAAATACATTTCACGTTCCATAATACATGCATTTTCATCTTGCACATAATATTGCAAGATTATTGAGACATCTTTCTGTAAGACATCTTAAAGCGGAGTAAAGAAGGCTGTTTATTAGCTGCCTTTCTTAAGCTTGAACTATCGACGTATGGTTTTATTTTCTCGGCACATGGATTCTTAAGTCCACATATACACATGATTTACGATGATACAGTTATCGCAATGTCGATATTGAGTGTAAGTAAACGCTAAGTTGCAATGGAATAGGATGTAAAATATTACGTCATTCGTTTCCGCCGTCGTGTTCACTTTTATGATCGCAATTCGTTTTAGAAGAAAGAAAATTTTATAGTAATCTTTGTACACGAAAACTGTTATAGATTCAATTTGCAAAGAATAAATCTTTGAAAACTAAAGAAGGAAATTTGAAGAAATTTATTATACTTGAAGATAGTAAGAATTTGTTTTGCTCTTTACAATACGATATAATTGATTATTATTATATTTAGGCAACGATTATATAAGTCAACGCTTACATATTAGTAAGGGTGCGTTCCACTTATCGCTCGCAACGCTCGTGGAATCATTTCATCCTTGTTGTTTGTCAAATGTTAAACAAGGACGAAATGATGCTCGCGAGCGTTGTGAGCGGTAAGTGGAACGCAGCCTAAGGCTACTCAATTCATCTAATTTTTAATTAAAAGTGCCTCTAAGTCTGTATTATTTTGACCTCTTCATGTGTCATATTGTTTTTTTTTTATTTGCCATGTTCGATGCCGCGAAAAAAGAAAAAGTCTTCTTATATTTTTTATTATACTGTATTTACCGAGATTCTCGGTCGATGACATATTGAACAAGTGCGGCGGGTCAAACGGCGCGGCGGTGGCGTTGAGTGTGCGGAAAGATCGATGGCTTCTTTAGAATCGAAAGAGAAGTCTATTGCCGGAGAGTGGCGTCAAATTGACTACGTCCTAGTCCTGCCATTTATACGCGTCGCTAACCTTTCAGACATAAAATTGGCCCATAAAATGCGTTAAACGCGAGAAAAAGAAAGAGAGAGAGTGTGTTTCCAGTTTACTTTATTAGTCTTGGCCACACGCTTCGCTGCGAAAGTAACACGTCCCCTTTTTGCAATACATCGCAATGCACGGTGATTGTTTTAATCCGATAAATTCGCGATTCGCGAAACAAAGAAATATTTCAGCGGTGCATTACGGCGAGACGTAGAAATTGCTTCGTTAAAAAGGAAAATGATAGGTCGTTGACTTCCTCGTAGAGAGTCGAACGGAAATGTCAACGCGTGACGTTCGAGTTGACTGCTTTTAGCTTCGGCATTTATATTCATCGGTAACTTTGATTGTGCGCCATAGGAATCGAGAATGGTCCCCGAAACGAAGCAAGACGGCAGTAAAACTCACAGGGACACTGAACGGGTAGGAAGAGGAGAAAGAGAGACAGGAGGGGCGACGGAAAGAAAGAGATAGAGAGACGAAAAGAGAGGAGAAGGGTAGACGGGTAGTGAAATAAGCAAATCCCATGGCGCTCCATCCCGCTCTGGCAGCGAGCCTGCCAGACTCTAGGGAGAGAGTGGGCCCCCTGTTATACCGAAGCTTTTATTTCCCGAAGCATCGATCTCCATAAAGTTGCTGCCGCGAAATGAGTTCCTGCGGTCTTCTCCCGGAGTTGCACCCTAAAGCGCTTTGCACCTGCAGAGATACCTAAAACAGCGTGCGCGCGCGTGTGTGTCTGTGCAGTTGCACTTAATTAAAGAATGCAGCTCAGTCGGGCACTTGGATGTCTAAATCGGGGCGCGTTCTTTATACAGAACACCGTTTCCGTATTTATATAGGATATCTGGAGTATCCGTATTTACATTCTCATTACCGTTGTTTATTAATTAAACTGATAAATTTAAACATATTGCGGATATATTGTGAAGACGTATCAATTCCAATTGAGCTGTTCCTGGAAGCGACTTTATTGAATTTGGCCTTAACGAGCTAAATTTTATTAAATTTAAGAGTTCTATTTGGATTAAATAAGCTCTTCACCACGGGTCATAAAACTATCATTGTAGAATTAGATTATAATTTTATAGCGACAGAAATGTAACGGAAATTCTCAAATTATCTATAAAGATATTATATAGAATCTATATAAAGATAATTATTAAACTTTTAAAATAAGTCTTTTAATTATTATATTAAAATTAATTTCTCTTTGTCATAAATAAATATAAAATGTTCTAAATAATTATCTCAAATTTATATCGAAGGATATTTCCAGTTTTCTTTTTTAATAAATTCTTTTGTTTATCTAAATCTTATTAAATTGATGTGCTATAATTGTGACATAGAGTCTATTTCAAAAAATGCTTTTTTCAAGTTTCAAATATTTTTACAAATCATAGTTACCTATCTTATCTATATAAAGATAATCGTTAAAATTCTTAAATGCATCTTTTATGTTATTATATTAAATTTAATTTCTCTTCGTCATAAATAGATATAAGACGTTCTAAATAATTTTCTCAGTCGAAAGATATTTCCAGTTTTTTTTTAAATAAATTCTTTGATCGTTTAAAATCTTATTAATGTGCTATAGTTGCAACATAGAGTTTATTCCAAAATATTCTATTTTTCAGGAGCTGCAAACATATTTACAAATCGTACCTACGGCATCTAACAGATAAGATGGCTCTATATATTCAGATTTGCAACTGGAACTGTATGTAGTCGAGTAATTCGAGAGAACGCGCCACAGAGTGAACTCCTTTCTCTTCTTCCCTGTAAGTACGCCCTGTTAACACAGTATTTACGAGTCGTTCCTCGTTCCCTCGGGGATAGTCAGCGCTAGTTGGCATCGGATACGTATTTTCCTGTGCGAGGCGTGTATCTTTCACTTTTCTCTCTGGTTTCTCCCGGAGCTTCCTTTCCTCTCTTTTACGGCACGTGCGCGCGCTGTTTCCTCGTCAACCTCGCGACTTCGCCGTGCTTCCAGTCGGTGGTGTGCTCTTTTAATCTTCCGCGTTTTCTTCTCTCCGAGAGGATTTATCTTTCGTAAATTGCCGAAGCATTGGCAAGTTGAGAGACTTCGCGGAAAAACGCGTTGAAGAAGCTTGCAGAAAAGTATCGGAGGCGGAATCGAGAAAAGCCGGAGCCGCTGGTGAGAAACGACAAGTGCCAATTTAGTCACCGTTAAGACGTTTGTGACGTCTGACGCGCGACGCGAGAGGCGAGAGGACGACACTCCGTCAAATCATAAGACATACAAAGAGATATCTTGAACGCGCGACGTTTCCATTCTATTTGATTTCGTTCTATTATATATCTCGCGGCGGTATATACGCCTCCGCTCTTTCTCTCTCTCTCTCTCCCTCTCTCGCCTTCCTTCTGGCCCAGGACGCCAGGACGAGTACGTCGCAGGACAACAGTGATACGGATAGACGGACACTCAGACGTTCGCAATTGCGGCGACACATGTAAGATAGGTACCTGTGCCTCGCAATCTGCAATATGGGATCCCTCTCGCCACTGTTATTGCTGTTGCTGCTGCTACTGCTGCTGCTGCTGCTGCTGCTGAAACGAAGGCGAGTCCCACGGTACTGGAGATCTGAGACGCAGCGCGAGACGCGTTTCCCGCTCGAGAAAACGGTCTCGCGTTATCCCTCAGATTCAGACTTCGGGGCTTTAGCTGCGCGGCAATTCGCGCTGTTCCGGTGCACGGAAGGAATACGGTGCGATTAAACGTTAAATTGGGAAAAAGTTTGGCGCGCCAAACGAAAATATCGAGACGCAGCGCACTCGAGAAGAAAACAAGCTCGATATAGAAAGATGTTGATACACTCGATCCTCAGCGAATTTTTAAGGAAACAAATTAACTGCGATAAAGAAACGTAATAAAATTTTATATTTTGATCGGCTTGCGAAATGTTTTTTCACTTTACACATAAAATTATTTAAGATATAATGTTTAAAATTGCAGTTGAACTTGTGTGCAATTGTTGAAATTGTTGCAAAAGATATTTTTACCGAGAAAATATCTTTCTTTAAAAAAAAAAAGCAGATTGAAAACCGAGTTCAAAAGGGAGATTTCATAGGAATGTTGCATTATGCAGCGCGGGCGCGCTGTGGCGTCCCCGCGGAGTAACTACATTAATCCTTTACGGGAATGACTCTCGAGCTTAGAATACGTTTGTATACATACGCGTTCTCGATTCCTTCGAGACATTTGTATTGCTCGGGCTGAGATTCACCTGGAGAAATCGCGACGCGCGCCGCATTCCGAATAAATGCGCTCTCTCGGTATATTTCGCCGCCGCGCGAAATGCACACGCGGAAGCGAGATGTATACGACAATATACGTAATCGTTAAATGAACTAGACGAAATAATCTGTCGAACGCGACGATTTATCCGTTACGGCAAGTGGCGGGGATTAGTCCGCTTCAGTCAAGCCAGCAAAATAAATCAATGTCAGGCAACTATTGCGCAACGTTGACACAGATTAGTTACGTGTAATAACATGGATAAATTACGGAAATGATTACTCGCGTATACGGTCCGATGAACTGCCGTTAAAGATATTTCCGTCGAGATGTGAAACAGAATATATTTTGATTGATCGATGAAAGTCCATTCTCGGGAGAGAAGGGCCCGAAATTTCAAGCAGTGTTGCTTAACTAGCCGTCACTCTTATACCTTTGATGATCAAAACGCGTCGCGGAAAGCTCGAGGGCTAACTCGAGTGTCTCGAGCAAGATCGGGGGATAATAGCGCCAATGGAGCGGGATGGTATGGGGTTGATCTTCCTCTCTCTCTTTCTCACTCTCTTGATCTCGGAAGGCGACTTATCGAGCCGGGGAAGCCGTTTAACGGTTCGTTACGAGAGAGCTCTTTCGTACTTTATCTGGTTTCAGACTCTACGACGTGAGCAGTGGAGAAGCGAGGTGGATTCGGGTGATCGGGACGTGGGAATCATTCCGAAGACGAGAGGGAGAGACAGGTCGCAAAACAGAATATCTACGTCTACAATAGATTCAAACTTGTCATTTTAAGCTCGTGCACAACGCGAGAGCCATATCGAGCAGGTCCTTATCTTTTCGATAAATAAAATAACAAACTTAAAACACGTTAAATAAATCGTGGTATTTTTTGTTTCGAAACGACGCGAAAGTTTAACTCTAAGCCGCCGTATATTCAGTTTAGATGTAACCCTGAATTTATTCATCAATCCCACGGAACTTTCTCCACTATCGCTAAAAAGTTAAAAGACTCAAATTGAATTGACGTTAACACGTATTGAGATTAAAACACAGCTGTCCATGTATTGTGGTAATATAAATTGCACTCTACACATTCGCGACCTTCCGCTGCATCGCCATGAATTGGATACGCCGCATCTCGAGGAGTCATTAAAGCTACGTTAATTAGCGCGAGAAAAGAAATCGAGATCATCAATTTTTTGTACATCCAGAACGACCGTTATTGAGATCTATAGGGCGGACAGGGTGTCGCGTGACATCCGCGAAATGCATTTTCGCGCATATTATACATCGCCGTATTCGTCTGTGCTCGGCAGCGCGGCCCGGGGGAAAATTTCGCGGTTCTATTACCCTTTTCGTGGCGCACTAATTAGTACCGCGGCGAGGGTGGCGTGGACTTCGTTAGGGAGAGTTAGTATCCATCTACATTCGTGCATTCGTGTTCGAGGCGCATTATATCGCGCCGACATTTGTAAAACACGACTGAACATACATTACAGCGCCGCCGTACCCGTCCCACCTTGTCTCCGTCTCGATTTTAAGCCGACAATTGCTCTTCATCTTTCTTTCCACGCCGCGTCTCGGAACGCGCGTCTTCATTGACACGACGCGGTTTATAATTAAAAACGTGATAAAAAGATGCAACCAACATCGTGTGCAGCAAGTAGTCGGCAGTTCTTCATAAGGGCGCCACAATTCGCTAAATTCTGTTACGCGTAACGATTTTACGCAGCTAGAAAAATCGAAGAGACGGTGTTGAGAGCGAGTCATGCAGTCGCGCGCCCGGAGTGTGTGTATCGGATGGATAAAGAATTCGGTGAGAAGAAAGCAGCAAGCGTTGACGGAGGCAGACGAGGGTTTTCTCATGGAAAAACACGTCCTCACCTATTTCCCGAGTAGAGGAAGTTTCTTTGTGCCTTCAAATTAAGTTAGACCACGTGGAAGACGTATTCTCAAACTTTTTTCTTTTCCGTTCGCCTTTTTCATCCGCTCATCTTATCTTCGTCTTCAAGTCCCTCCATCTGTCTCGACACAGGTACCACTCCATAAAGGAGGAAGAGACGCGACGCGACTCGATTGCGCCGCATAAAGGACATGCTTAATTTAATAAACTATTAGAAATTGTCTAAGTCGATCCCGATAAACGCAAAATTAATCAGAATAACGCTCACGCGAGCGGGAAATTAATTTTCGTCACTTAGTCTAAATAGTTCTGATTGTTTTATTCACTCAATCCGCGCGACACTTTTCGTTATCTGGGTTATTTCAGACGCCTTAGACAGAATTGCACCCTCTCTTTCTCTCTCGGCGAAGAGAGGAAACTTTTCTATCCCAAGTGGCTGACTGAGAGGAGCACTTGTCGAGATTTCATCGATTCGAAATAAAGCAGTCGCGCGCCGAGTGCAGTTTAAATACGACTCATCTTGTGAATATCGAAATTCCGCGTTGCGTGACGAAGTTCGTCGTAAAGGATATATTATTTATATTACGTAAACATTCGCCGTTCGCGTTGAACTGAGACTCAAAAGGCGTGAGTCCCGCCATAATAGATTCCCGCCGCGCGATTCCGGGACTTGGTTGACAAGTCAATGGAAAAGTCGGCGAGCAACATCATTGTCAAAAAGCAGTAATAGCGACGGAAGCGGCAATGACCCGTGCAAAACGCGATGGGAACGACTGGGACTTTTGCGCGGCAATCAGGGTAAAGCGCAAACTATTCAAGTTGCGGGCTTTCACCGTCGACTTACAAGCACCAATCTCTCTCTCCCTCCATCTCTCTCTCTTCTTCCGCGCTCTCCTTCACTCTTCTACCCTCTCTCGCGTCCGTCCACTCTTCTTTTTTCTTCCGCCCTTCTCTCCTCCCCCATCGATTCCCACCCTTGCCTCCTCGACACTTTCTCTCTCTCCGAGCATTCGCACTCTTTATCGTTTCTATTTCTTTTCAGGCCTTCCGCACTGTATACAAAGTGGAAGCACTAAATTGGAAACCGCGGCTTTGTCGGCGCTATTGCGGCTTCTTCTTTCCGCCGTTCCGGTTTCGCCCCCGTGTTTGTTGCCTCTCGTTGCTTTTTTTATTCCTCGCCTTCACCTCTGCCCTTTTTGTTCCCGCAGCGCGTTGGAGGACCGTTACTCTTGCACCGAGTCGCGAGAAGGCTCGCCTTGACGTCGCGAGGACAGGTCGCCGTTACAGTTGACATTGGGTCCAGATTTATTGAACGTGCTGGTGTTCCTGAAGTGACCGTATACCTCCACCGGTCACAATTGAATTTACAATCTCGAGAAGGACTTCCCTTAAACTCCACCCCTTGACGAAACATCATTTCTCGAGACGTATGAAGATAAAGGTAGCAAGTATCCGGAACAATCAGTCAGAGCTCCTTCGGCGTCGCTGTCCGACTAGATATTATCCAGGAAATTAATATTACGCAAGAATAGCAGCTATTCGCGATAATAATGTGGT